TGGCACTTCAGTCCGTGCCCGTGAAGAGCGTGCATCGTGGTTTCATCCCGTCAATGTGGACACTAGAGGTGCTCGAGGCACTGACCTACTGACGCTGTGCTCTGCTCTCGGTAGTCGTCTAGAAGCCCTGCTGCCCCTTCCACCTTGGCTCCTGCGCGAGGAGCACTGACAACAGTTATATGCGGCCAGCCAACGCCAGGCAGCCAATTTCGGTTCGGCCTCCCCGATCCCTGGAGAGGCCCGACTTCCCAGCGAGGTTCCCCCGTCTCCATCGAGAAATACGGGGCCTCCAAATGACCACCAAAGCAGCGTTGGTCGTACTCGCGACTAATCAAGAGCAGCCACGAGCTATCAGAGAGCCACCCTCCGTGCCTCTGACCTCGCACTCAGGCATCGCACCCTGCGGATATTGTCACGCTTTTCCGCCCTCCACGTGGTGGACACTATCCCGCCTTAGCACCATGAATACTAGCCTTACTTCCCTGTACTCCCTTTTGCAAACATTTTTTATAGTGTCATGTGTTTATTTTGTTATTATTGTTTCTTCTTTCATCATTTAGCAGGAGTTTCAGGGCTGCACTAAGGTTAGCTGTTGCTCATAGCAGTGTCATTTTAACTGCATGGGTAAAGAGCGGCTGCCTTTGCAGACCGGTAAAGGAAAAATTTAGGAGAGGGGAATGTGGGAATTGAGACCAGCCCATCGCCTTTGTGCGGGCTCGCTAGGACCGGACCCACGTTAGTGGCCGTACTGCTTCGGGATATATGTACACTACAACGTCAGCACAGAAAAGTTATCCGTTTCATAGAAAACTGCGGCATGCATGGGAGCATGCCTAACCATGAGGCCATGCAATTGAAATTTTTGCCACTGAAGACAGGCGAACTCCAGCCAATCGATCAAGGCGACATCAGAAATATCAAAGCACACTACCGTGCCCGCCTGATCAATCGTACCGTGCTGTGCCTTGACAGTGGCAAAGCCTACAAAGTCAACATCCTGGCCGCCATCTATATGCTAGCCGAGGCATGGAAGGCGGTGAAGCGGGAGACCATTGTGAATCGTTTTAGGCATGCAGGTTTCGGTGACACTGAAAAGGCCGAGGCGGATGATCCGGACATTCGCGATCTGGACAGGGCAATGAATGGCGGTGAAAACTTAATCTGCAATCTGCGAAGTGGTGGAGTGGATGTTCCTGCCACAGTGACAATTCGGGGCTTCACTCGTGCAGACGACGATGTTTCGTGCACTGAGCCCACAGAAGACAAAATTCTGAAGCAGGTTTGCCAGAGAGCGGCTCCGATGACGACAACGAAGGTGACCACCCGCAGCCATCGGCGGCACAAATCATCCACGCGGCGGCCTTCATAATGGACATTTATGGCGAGGATGTCACCCTGGCGCAAATACAGGCAAATGCAATTTCTGTATGCAATACAATACAGGCGTAAATGCAATACAGGCGTAAATGCAATACAAGCGTAATATAAGGCAAGACAGCATCAAGGACTTCTTTAAGCTAGCCAGAATGCAATGAATTTCACTTTTTGGCAAAAACAAAGTTTTCGGACTGCGATTTTTCGGACCATTTCTTGGCCGTATCCAGGTTCGAAAATTGGTCAGCGAGTGTAGCAGTTGCAGTTGGAAAGCCTCTAGAAAATGTGGCAGTGGTGCCTGTCGATGGCGTGCCTGGCATCGTTTGTAGGAGACAGAGAGGTCTTGAGTGTGACTTCCGTTGAGCGTATGTTTTTCTCTGCCATAGAATCATGCATGTTTTTTCAATGCATAGGTTGAAATGAACCTTACCAGAAACAAGTTGGATGTCTTGGTGTAGGGCGGCACAGAACGCTTTTGTATAAGAAGAATAGAGTGCCATTATACCCTGCGAATTTGGTGAATTTGACGTGTACAAAATCCGCCTTTGGAGTCACGGGATGCCGAGACAGTTTTGTAGCATGCTGCAGCCTTCCCCAGAATGCTGTTTTTGGGCAGCATCAGCAACAAGTTTGTTATGTGCATCAGCATTTTTCCATGAAGACTAAAAAGCACATGAAGAAATGTGCGTTTCGCAAAAAATTACACAAAGAAGATATTTTCCTTGATCTGCACAATTACTCATGTTCCTTTACATGTCCTGCAGGGAGCCTTGACTGTAAAACTCAATGAATCCTTCATGAAGGTACTCACTTTTAGATTTGACTTGAACTATGTATAATGTGCATTCATGTCATTCCAATTGAATCACTTCTCGGAAGCTAGAATGTCTAGCACAGAGCTCAAGACAATCTTTTTCAGGGGTACCTATACGTTCGAATGCGGCCCCGTTTAGAAAATTTAGTTTGTTCAATTCATTTATTAATACCCTGGGCACTTTTTCAAATACATTATCCCCTTCTGCCACTCCATACACCAGAACACAGCGAGCTCAGTGTGTGCTGCCATATTTAGGAAGCACGCCACGCCATCCGTCGAAAGCGCGGCAAAGCAACACCCTGGACTTCCGTGCTGGCAGACACTTGGCAAATCAAATGCGAAACTTTGCAACCCAAGTCCAGCCTTAAGCATGTTTTGCGCTTTTGCTATCTCGGAAGTTTTTGTCGAGTGATACGTCGAGAAGACCTTTCTCGACAGTCCAGAATGTGTACAGCATGTGCAATGCTGGCTGCAGAAGCTACTACTTGCTTAACCTGAACAGCGGAAAGCATGGCTACCCAGTCAACCTGCCACGTGCTTTGACTATCGCTAGGGGATATTTGTGCTTTCATCCAGCACCACTATACTTATAGAATCCTGTTCCGTATTGCACCCATGCACCGAATGTGCTTATGATTTTCCAGTCATGCCTGGCACTTTCAACACACGTGGCGCAAAAGTGCCAGCCAGAATAAGATCTTTTAGTGCTACAGTGACGCCGGCTGAAAACGCAAATTTGCCTAGCGACAGTCGAGGAATGTTGCATTTATACTGCACCGAAAGCCACACTTTTTGCAGTTGATGTTTCTTTGCATTACGATAGTGTGTCGTTACATTTGTGCGAAATGTACACAGTGCGAGTATGCACGCGCTATTCTTAATACGGTAAACCCTCACTGATTCGAAATATTCCCGCAGTCTCATACTTTGTAATGCAAGTCCGAACAGATAATTTGAAGTGGCGGTCGGCACCATTGTGGTTAATTCGAAAACTTTGGGTGGCATGTGCCGATTCCCAATCCCGATTTCACCAAAATTCTAAGGAAACGACGGCCCTCTAGGGCGAGAAGGCCCCACAATGTAGAGATACTAATGAGTGGCAGCTGAAGCACCCCAGCCTCACTACTTGCGGAGCAAAAACAAGCAAGTTTCGTGGTCAATCAAAATGTGCGCCTGTCTAAAAGACCTGCTTTACTGCACCACAGCAGTAACACGCACGCAGCATATTGCATGTTTCTCACAACGTCAGCGTGTCACGGTTTACTCAATCTTGCAGAGATTGTAAAGAAATTAATTAAGGGTATGCAAACCTCCGATTGCCAATTTATCTGACAACCAGCGGACTTACACTGCTGGCAGAGTTTTTGTCTGCAACACTTACTTCAAAAACTACGAGCTAAAGTTTCAATGATCATGTTTCCCAGCCAAAAGACATTGCGGATTTCGAAGCATTCACCAGCATTAAATAATTTTACCAGAAAGAATGGGCTCATTGCGTGAGCATCATGACGTGCTGACGCAATGAGCAGCAGGAGACATGCCGCCCGCGTGTCACTACAGTGTTGTAGTGAAGATGTCTTGTTCTCCGCAGGTGCGCATTTCAGTTGATCGCGACAGTCTTTTTTTTTTGGCAGCAGCAGAGAACCTCACAGAAAAATTAAGACCAAGCATTGCTGGGAAGCATAACCCTTGGAGCCGGCAAAACGGACAACCAGCCCCGATAACATTGCTTGCATTGCATTTTTTGTATCTAACGTGGTTGCTTGGGCGAGTTGGTACGACATGATTCACATAAAAAACAGCGCCAATAACGAGAGACTAGAAAAAGAAGGAGACAGACAGCGGCACTGACTTACAACAAGATTTATTTGCCAGAACCGCACAATATATACTTGGTCAGTATCTATTGTATGTTCTGGCAGCTTAAAAAAACCCGCTTAATTAGAAGATTTTTTGCAGCCCTAGTGACTTAGAATTAAGGAGGTTTTACTGTATCTAATGTTATTTGTACGCGGTCTGCAAAACAATACAGCAGTAATTTGGCACCACATACTAGAAGTATACTGCATGCAAATTACTACTGTAAAGCCAAACAGCTGGTGTCACGCTTAAATGCATTCAGCAAGTGTACTTATACACTTCTACTGGGCTCCTAGTTTTTCCTGTTGATTGCAATTATCCACTGGTGCCAGCGCTCCGCGTTTTTCGTAGCAAATGGAAAGCAGTGCCACCCCAAACACCGCACCGGCCCAATTCCTGCACCATGTAGCGATCTTCCCAATGAACAGTATTTTTCTCTTGCACCGATTGTTTTCGCATCGAAAGACAGTGCAGTAGTGCCCAGACAACTTCTTATCAGTGGAAGCGGCGTCAACTGGTGCTTTTTTGCATTTCAAACTCTGAGAAGTGCCACTTGCCAAGTTAACTTGGTGCAAGAGGTACACAGCTCGGCAGTTCAGAACAAAACGTCGTCTGAGTGCGAGAGTATGTCGCCGGCAGCTTAGATGCAAGATGGGCGTGCTATGGTCTGTAAAGGGTGCGGGAGGTTCCACTCCAATGCTTCTGAAGACATCACTGCTCCCTAGGTGGTGCAAGAAGCTTTTGTCTAGGCACGCAGTGACCTGCTGGAAACTAGTCTGGCGGGAAACTCTGCTTTAAAAGCTGGAAGAGTGCACAGCATGTGAGGAAAGCCGAGGCTAGAATGCTGCACAGTCTTAGTAATTAGCCTGATACTGCAACAGTCTCAATAAGCTGGAACATTTAGGTGCACCAAGTTGTTCAGTTGTCAGGACAGCAAGTTCCCACAAACCTGTGCTAGAGTGCCTCCTGGTTCCCGGCCCGTGCCGCAATGGACGCGGGGACGGCAGCCCCGTCCGCAGGGAGTTGGGCCGACCACGGCGAAGGTTGGTCTTGATCGACGATGTGGTGTTGGTGCCGCGGAAGAAGTGCGCCGTCTGTGGTACCGCTGGCTCAGTCTTGGGCTCTGGTTGTTTGATGGTGTCGGAAGAGCCACTCTCTTCCTGGACTGCAGCCGCTGCAATGACCAACACGACACTTTGCAACCAATGTCGCATGCAGGACAAAGAGGAAGGCATGCCATGGTGCCAGTGCACATTTTACAATAAGACCTCAATATAACGAATATGAATATAATAATTATCGGTTATAACAAAGTATATAAAAAATAGCCTTGTATTAGGTACAGTGTTGTAAAATTTTTACAACAAAACTTTGGATATAACATACTTATTTTCTAGTAAGATGCAACTTTTTTTTTATTTAATGAGGTTTGGGTATATTTCTAGGAGAACCCCTCACCGGTCCTTCAAATTTTACTTGCACACCGGAAGTTGCAAGGTGCTGCCCAAGAAAAAGTTTTGCAACAACAATTTGAATTTGCTCAAAATACAGTAGACTCGATAACTCAAACTACAGGGAACTTCGAGATTTTGTATGAACTATAGGAAGTTTTCATAAATAAGACTCGGGACAACATACCAACTTGTGCCGAGATATTTACCGCCTCCCAGTGCTTCAGAAAGATCATAGACAGCTCTACATGACTGCCAGTGATGTTTCAGACAAAGTTGCATATTACACAAAAGTAAGTTCGTTATAACCAAAATTCGTTATAAAGGTATCCTTTACATTATTGCAACACTGTTCTTCATTTACTTTGTTATAACCAGCATTTCATTCTATCTGGGCTCATTACATCTGGGTTCATTATATATAATTTCAGTGCATTCCACGAGTTCCCGCGAGGGTAAGAAAGCCCATTTTTAGCAAGGGAAAGCAATCAATGCAATAGCGAAAAATTGGCTATGTAGTCAGTATAGAACCCCAGCTGCCTTTCCGATGCAGGCAATAATGCTTGCGACTCTGTTACTTAGATTTAGGTGCACCTTAAAGGACCCCATGTGGTAAAAATTTCTGAATCCCTCTACTCCATCACCTCTCATAATGATATCATGGTTTCAGGACACTAAACCCAAGCAGTTATCAAAAAGCCAGCGCGGTGCACTTCAAAAGGTGCCAGTAGTCGCAATATTCTCGAATCAGGGTTGCCATGAAAGCCTACCTTTTTCCAGAGGATTCACACTCGCAGGCACATTGGCATCTCCACTTTGGACCAACATTGTCCTCCACCTGCAATGGCTGAAAAGCGAAATGTTTGCAGGCTTTGTTTTGTTATGTGTTTTTGTTGTTGGAAGAGAACAAAGTAACACAGTGCGGCAGTGCTGTAACAATGCAACGTTCTTCAGACAGCAACGAGATACGAAATGAAAAGCAGTTATAGAGCGATAGAAACCAGTGTGTACCCATGCGTTTTCTTGCGAGCATCAACTAAGAGAATTTCCACATGCCAACACTAACAGAAAAGGAATAGACAGCACAAGCATTCACCTTCGCATCGCTTCACTTTTGTCTTCCATCGAAGTATCAGTGATAGTCCCACCCATTTATTTTTTTGTTTAGTTTCCTCTAGCATGCAAAGCTCAATATAATGAATTGTTGGCTCTTCAACACGTTGAATGCAGCATGGGTGCCTGTTGGGTCACAACCTGTGCTCCTCCTATGCAACCGTGATGTTCCGAGCAGGCATCTGCTTGCCGATGTGATAACTTAATCAAGCATATAGGGAGAAATCTCGATACAACGAATCTCAAGGGACTGCTAGAAATCATTCATTATTTTGAAAGTCGTAGTGAAAGTATTAAAGATATGCGCAAAAATGCGTAAAGGCAAATGCGCGAGTCACCTACCTGTGCTGTGCATACATTTGTGACGTTCAAGTAAGCATGAGAAAACAAACAAACAGGAATATTACAAAAACAGTGCATGTTTCTTTGAGGAAGAGGCAGCCTGACTGTGGGCAGCTCGACTGCAGATAGACGAACTCGAACTGTTAAGCGTGCGCATCCTTCTTACGCACTGCAAATATCGGCGGTCAATACCGATCGATCTTTTACGTTGGTCCGTGCGTGCTGTTTCAATGTCAGCTTCGCACTCGTCGCCATTTTCTTATCACGATAAATGGTATGGATCTCACCACTTGTCAGCAAAGCCCATATGCACACTTTGTCCCGGCACTGAGCGTAGTGTTCGAGTGTTAGTGCAGCACACGAGGGTTATCAGCAACTCCATTCATCAACGACTTTAGGTGACTCGCATCGCATTCTTCACTGTCGTAGCATTCTTTTCGTGGTGCTTCCGAGCTCATCTTGAACGTTCAACCACCAACAAAAAGGCTAGAAAGCTGCTCGCATGTCAAGCTGCCCGACAAAAACAAGGGTGACGGGACGAAGCCCAATGTGAAAGACAAGTCTGCAAGACAAGTTCCAGGCGATAACGATGGAGATAGGGCTATCGCACATTTGAAAAGGGTGGGCAGATAGAAAAAAACGCTAGTGTTCTGATGATGATATTGGCAGCTACGGAGCTGGACATTATTTTTTACAGCCGCTAGTAGCTTTTTTAAATCGTTATTCGTTATTTCGAAGTGTTGTGAAAATGCAATAGGGAAAAAATTCGTTACATTATTCTGGAACAATCTGTATTCTGAAATTCGTAGTAGTGAAATATTTTTACATTAAACCAATGAATATTTGGAGTGGGATTTTCGAAAAAGTCCTTAATGTGAAAAAAAACCTTCATACTGAGGTTCGCTACAGCGAGATTCTACTATATGCAGAGGTAGGATTCCTGTTGCAAGAGGTTATAAATAATCAGAAGAAATTTTTCTGGTGCTATATGCCATTGCCCACCACCGGGTCCCTCCGCACATAAAAAAAAAAAAAGCTTAACGTGCAAAAAAAAAAAGTAATTGAATTGCCTTGCTATTGATAGCGTCGCAAGTATACTTTTACGAGTTTTTATATACAATGAAGTGTTAATGTCTGATCCAAAAGTTGTGGGTGTGGATCCCACCGGCTGAAAGTTTTTCCCCAGTCCACATTGCTTCATTTTCATTTGTGTCAATTATTAGATTACATTTGAAAATAGCCTTGCTTACATTTTTCTGGCCTCATTGTCCTTTAGGTTCATTCAGTTGCGTCTCACAAAGAAATTACCCCTGCCCAAGTTCCCCTCCATTCATTGCAAGCAATGCGCACTCCTACAGCAGGACAAGCTTCGGACACTCACCGGCAGCGAAGCAACCTCCTCGCGCAGTTTGTCGAGCAGCTCGGGAGTGGCACACGCCTGCTGCTGGTGCCGGCTGAACGCCTGCCCCTCCTCGCGCTTCGCCCTGTCGGGAAATGGCACACACCAACTTCGAAGGACTTTCTCTCTGCACTCTTCACGATTGTAGTTTCATAACAGCCCATTAGAGAGAAATCTGGCGCAAGTTCGTCACTATGGGTGCTGTGATGTGTCGGGCTTCAGCCAGCGTGGGATTGATGGGTAGTACACAAGAATTCGCCCACGCTTCATTCTTTCAGTTCTGGGCGACCTGCACCCGCTTTGTCAAAAGACAATTTTCAGTATGCCCACTTCGTCGCCTTAGTCCTTGTCTTTTTGGGCTGACCAAATTGAATCGGCTGACCAAATTGAATCGGCTCACCAGGTTCACGATAAGTTGCTGTAATTCGAAACAGGCCAAAAGAAAGTATCCCAGGGAATCCACAAGTGCCTACAAAGCCACAAGCACGAAGACTAGGCAAACTCGTGTGCACTCAGACCTCGATATAATTAATCTGGATATAATGAAATATCTGTTATAATGAAGTAAATTAAAAATAGTCTTGCAATAGTTATAGTCTTAGATCAAATTTGTGGCTAAGGTGCAATTTTGTTATACTAATGAGGTTTGAGTGTACTATGCTCCATTGCCATGGCGACATCGAACAGGGAATGTTGCTGGCGGCAATGTTCTGACAACAGGAGATTTTTTTCTGTGCAGCCTCTTCACCAGCGATAAGAAATCTCTGCTAAACCATTGCTCATCACTTAAAGCCTCTACATAATCCTGAAAGTGACTGGGTCAAATTTCCCTAACATGCCTCGCACTGTGTGGTATGTATTAGATGTAGATGAAACATGCCTGGCGTGTCCTTCATAGGACATTTAAACTTTCATCTCAGAAGACATCTCTAGACTAGACGCTCCACACACATTGGGACATCACAAGGTCTTCCCATGGGCGGAGAGTTTTCTCCACATACTATAGAGATGAACTGACAGACATCCAGACTGACCTCTTCCTCTCTAGTGCCTGCTTTTTCAAAATGCACTACACTAATACTGCTATAGCAAAACAGCTTTGTTTGACTAATCAAACAGCAAGATCAATATAAAAAAGCCTGCACACTGCAACAGAAGCAAAGCTGATTAATCCTGGAACCTAAAATACCACAAACATATAGAGAATTAAGAACACTACACCCAGGCAATTAGCAGGCATAAGCGTTAGTCACATAAAGTCACACCCAACACAAACACCACTTCGTTCTTTATAATAGTACATATTTTGAGTACATTTTGAGTGCATCCATGACAAAAATATCCTCTTAAATTATGTGAAAGAAAAGTGAACACTGGACCCATGGTAATAGAGAAAAGAGCTCCGAGCCCACATGGCAATGTACAGCACCATGCAATGGAGTTTTCAAAAAGCACCAGCGTCGAAAAAAAAAACAAAAAAAAAAACACGACCTAGTAAGCAGAAACAGCACAACTGCACCCAGCCCCTAAAAAGCAAACAACTCCCCACTACCTTGGCACAAGCGAGGCCCGACAACTATGAAAACGCCGTAACAAGTTAGGGTTACGGCACAGTGCGACGCATTTAGATGTGTCGCAACAGAATCCATGATTTCCATAGTCAGGTTGTCCATTCTTGCTGAGAAAGTTAAAGAATCCGGTGGAAGAGCTTATCCGACTCAACATGCATTTACCTGTAGCGACGCACATCTATTGCAAAGCACATAGCTCGCATGAGGGCGTTGGAACAAAAAGAAAACGTGGCATGCAAGCGAGGCGAAGAAACAAGACAAGGTAACTCGGAGCCGATGGATACGAAGTATACCTTCCAGAACCCCAGGAATCGCAAGAGAAGGAAAGCCTGGAAGAGAAGAGAAGGCTTTCATAGTGAATAGAAAACCAACCTTTCCATCGACCTGTAAATCAAACACAAACCTTGACAACACAAATTTCAATAAAATGAAATGCTCTCCATAATGATGTATCGCAGTTCTGATAACTATCTCCATAGACAATTTTTACTTCTATGCAATAAGGCTTGTTCATCTACAATTTCAGTACAAAGGAACTAGAAAGAATTTTTCTTGTATTAGTACACTACTCACACACCAAAAATGCCTAACTTGCTGTGGGGAAGGCACTCTGCAAGAGATAAAATTTGCGAAAAAACAGGATAGGTCGTGAAGCCACTTTGAAATCCCCCGCCACCCACACCAGCTGCCGTGACAAAATATTTTGCCTGTCTACTAGGGTACCAAGTTCACAGCGGAGCACCACACGAGTTCTGGTGTACTGAAAAAAAAAAAAAAAAAAAAAACTGCCACCCACCACAGCATGCGTTTCATACACTCAAACATCATAATAACGAAATGGCATCTCACAGGAAAATGACTTTATTGTATCAAGAAACCATTATAAAGGTACATTCTTAACATTATCTATTGTAAGGCCATTCTCTACTTCGTTATAACAGATATTTCATAACATCTATATTCGTTATATTGAGGTTTGAGCACATGTAAGAAACTTTGACGGTGCCTAGTGTGATAGTGTCCCTGTCACATTTCCCGCTCAAAGTTCGCAAGCTGTACTTTTCACAGGGAGCTCGGGCTTCAAGCTCAAGGCATAAGGTCGAACCCAGGTCCCATGCGACAGTCTGTGGTCAAGCCTGGCTTGGACTTTGCTCCGTTTTCTTAAAGGAACACAATGAAGCATCGGATCGGTTTAAGCTGATATGGTTCTTTGAGAACCATATCAGCCCATATAGTTGATTTGGTTCTTTGAGAATTTTGATACGATTCATTTCACCATCACAGGTTTACTAACAGAGGAGAAAAGCAAGGTTCAAGTTGCATTACTAAGTATTCACGCTGAAATCTTCGCACATGATGTCGCGGATTTCCAATTGTATTTGTCAAATTGTGGGGACACTGGCTCAACAAAATTTTCTGGCACCCTCGGAGGTCAATGTACTTCAGATTTAGCAATTGGGAACTGCATAGGCCCAGTAGACACTGTCAGAATCTAACGTCACGCCGTCTGTTGTGTGAAAATTGAGGTGGTGGTACTACCCACATTTTTTTTTTTTTGCAACTTTCCTGATGCACGACAGCATTTTATTTATATTGTCGCGGTTCAACGTAAGCAGACTGCTGAGACATTGAGTCTGAGAAGCGATGGAGTGTTTTTATGCAGCAGCCAAGAGCAAAGACAAACAAAGGCACGTCGTCATCTTTGGTCAGTGTTCTTTTTCACGAGACTGGCGCACACATCGTCTTCATTCTCTGTCTATTTCGAGCTCGGCATTTGCCTCCCCTTAAAAGAGCATCGCCCCCATGCTATAGCTGAGCTAGTCATTCGTGCATAAAGTCACTTTGTGCAAGGGACGGTGCTTCGCAGAGTCACTTTCTGACGCATGGTTTAATGCGCACTACGTGCACAAGATCAGGTCGGTGCTGGCGACGCCTTGTACAGTTTGGGCTATCTGGGACGAACTCGTAAGTAACGTCACTCATTCATTGCAGCATTCAAAAGGCCCGAAGTATTTCTTGAGCAACTATTCGGATAGCCCCGTCTTCGTACAAGCATCCACACCTATACCCTGTCCCCGTTTTCGTACGTTACAAGTTACATAGGTTATAGCGACCTGCGTTGTACTCTTGCTGTTGGTATATTCGCATACGTGCGAGCTGCCTGGCTTCCTCTGCACGTTGAGTGAACGCGTCAACACTAGTTTTGTTGTCATCACATTTATGTGGCCACATCGCATCCAATATCACCCTTACTTCTCGTCCGTGAACAAGGCTGAATGGGAACATCCGTGTGGTTCCTTGTTAAGCAGTATTGTATGCAAACGTTATGTAAGGGAGAATCTTGTCCCAATTTTTGTGCTCAATGTCCACATACATTGAAAGCATGTCTTTCATAGTTTTGTTGAGCCACTCGGTTAAGCCTTTGGTTTGTGGATGGTAGGCTGTCAACTTACGGCGAATAGTACCGCTGAGCACCAACACATGATCTAAAAGCGCAGCCGTGAATGTGGTTCCGCGATCTGTTATAACGATTGACGGCGCACCGTTTCTCAGCACAATGTTCTCTATGAAGCATTGGGCCACCTCCTCTGCTGTGCCTCTCTGGATAGCTTTTGTCTCGACGTAGCAAGTAAGGTAGTCTGTCGCCACTATAACCCGGCGGCTACCAGCACTAGAGACGGGAAGTGGGCCCAAAAGGTCCATTCCGATCTGATCAAAAGGCGTTGGCAGGATCTGGACAGGGTGTAACAAACCGGCTGGTTTGGTCGGAGGTGACTTGCGCCGCTGGCAATCGAGGCAGGTCTGAACATGATGCTTCTAGGAAGCGGTGAGTCTAGGCAAGTAATACCTCTCCCGAATTCTGCCCAGATTTCGTGTGTAGCCTAAACTTTTAGATGCGACCTCGTTGTGGCACGCTTGCCAATACCTCAGAACGAAGAGCAGTAGAGACGACAAGCAGGTAGGTGGACACGTCTGATAAGAAGCTGATTTTGTAAAGAACATTGTTTCGTACAAAGAACGACGATAGTCCTCTTTCAAAGGCTTTGGGCACGTTCTGGATTTGTCCTTCTAAATAATTAATCAAGCCAGGTAGCTCAAGATCGTCATACTGGTGATCTGCGATGTTTGAAATGTCGAGGATTCTGAGAAATGCCGTCTCTTCATCAAGAGAAGCAGCCGATTCTATTGGTGATCGAGACAGGCAGTCAGCGTCCATGTGTCGTTTTCCCGAATTGTACAGCATCGTCATACCAAATTCCTGTAGTCCAAGGCTCCAGCATGCCAATCGCCCGGAAAGATCTTTCACACTTGTTAACTAACACAACGAATGGTGGTCACCGATAACCTTGAATGGGCGGCCGGACAAGTATGATAACTGCCCACACCACGGCAAGGCATTCTTTTTCCGATGTCGAGTAATTTACTTCTGTGCGTGACAGCTCCGCTAGCGTAAGCGATCACTTTTTCCTCGTCGTCCTGGCGCTGCACAAGAACAGTTCAGAGGCCAACATTGCTGTCAGTGGGGGCTGTCTCATCAAAATGGGCAAGCACGGGAGTCGTGTATCGACGTTGCCGCAAGTCATTGAAAGCAGCTTCCTGTTCGTCGCCCTAAACAAATGCAACGTCATCCCTCGTGAGACGAGTTAGAGGCGACGCAATGTGCGCAAAATCTGGAATAAACTGCCGATAATGTGCGCAGAGACCCAGAAAACGCCTGACTGCCTTTTTATCTGATGGTGTTGGAAACTGTGCGATGGCGGCAACTTTCTCGGAATTTGGACGAACTCCTGCGTAACTGACAACATGGCCAAGAAACTGTAGTTCCTCAAAGCAGGAGTGGCATTTCTCCGGCTCGAGTGTCAGGCCTGCAGCCCGTATGGCCTGCAAGATCCACCTGCAATTGTTCAAGGTGTTCGTCAAACGTTGCAGAAAACACAATGACATCGTGAAGGTATACTAGGCAGGTTCTCCATTTAAGCCCACAGAGCACAGTATCCATGAGACGCTGCAAAGTAGCAGGCGCGGAGCACAAGCCAAATGGTAAGACTTTAAATTCGTACAGTCCGTCTGGCATCACGAAAGCATTTTTTTTTCACGATCCCTGGGGTCGACTTCAATTTGCCAATATTCACTTTAAGTCCATAAAAGAGAAGTAACGTGCGTTTCGAAGCCTGTCCATCAAATCATCTATGCGGGAAAGCGGGTACACGTCTTTTTTCGTCACCCAATTTAGCTTTCGATAGTCTACACAGAAACGCAGGCTGCCTGTCCTTCTTTTAGACTAGAACAACAGGTGACGCCCAAGGGTGACGCCCAAGGGTGACGAGGGCTCACCGTCGTCTTAAACATTTTCATTACCTGCTGTTCTATCGCTTCTCGTTCTTTTGAAGCCAAATGGTACAGATTTTGATGGATTGGTCTAGCCGTGTCCTCTGTGATGATTCGGTGCATGGTCAAGGACGTCCGGCCAACTTTCGTGGTCGACCCGAAACAGTCGTGAACTCTGCTAGCAGCGCAAGGAGGCATTCCCGCTGTTGCCTAGTTAAAGTAGGGTTGACGTCAAGGTTAGGTGTTAGGTCATGTGGGTATTGTGTAGGCGTTGCTTCGAGTGCTGAAAAGCAGTCACAAACATCTTCCACTCTCGTCAAAATATGCCATAGTTGTGCCTTTTAGATGGTGCCGTCACTTGGAGGTGAAATTGGTCAACAGCAAGTTCGTTCGGCCGTCGGTGACATTGACTATTCCTCGTGCTACTGAAATCGTGTGAGTGAGAAGCAGCGAGGTTAGTTGGTCAGCGACTCCTCCACCGTCGAACGGTTCATCACATGCTACTGAAACGAGGGCGCATGATCGAGGCGGCACAACTATGTCGTGGTCTTTGAGACAAAAGGATTTGTGCTCTGGTGATGAAGAATCAGACAGATGAGCACTCTCGTAAAACGAAACCACGCAATCCGGGATGTTGATTACTGGGCCATGCTCCCCGAGAAAGTCCATTCCTATAATTAAATAATTGCAGCACTCTGGGAGAACGATGAAAATTAGCGACAACGGAGGAATCTCCTATGCAGATTCTTGCTGTGCATCTTTCAGTAGGGAGCACCAAATGACCACCCGCTGTTCTTATATGTGGTCCTGTCCACGGTTTTTTTACTTTTCCAAAACGATCGGCCAGCTTGCGACTTATTATGGAAAAATCGGCACCCGTATCATCTAAAGTCGTCACTTGCTCTCCATCAATAAGTACATTGAGGTCGGCGCTCACCGTTTCGTTGCTGTTAATATCCGTCGGTGTCGGTTCGTTCTGTAGCGGCAGTACTGGGGACGTTTTATTGTCTTGTGGTCAGGCTGCGACTTTACCCCGAGAAGTCGCGGCCTTTAGTTTCCCCGGTAAGGGCTGGGCGACCTTGTTCCCCGAAGGTCAGCAAAAGTACGTCGATTCAATGAGGATGTCTGTGCAGGGGATGGAGAGCGCGACTGGCGAGCCGAGTTGGGCTGGCAATTGGGAAGCAACTCGTGATAGAAAGACCACGTTGTTGGAGGTTTTCGAAAACCAGGGTCGTCATGGCGAACAATGTAGTCGGTGTTGGCACGGTAATCGTCATACCCTAGCCGAGACGAGCGAAGAGATGTGTCGCAGTGCCAACAATAGCGAGCTATATGGCCGGCGCCACCACTGTTGAAGCAGAGGGGGCACCGATCGACAGTGTGCCAAGCGTCCGTTTTGCGAAACTGTGGGCGTCCCATGTCCTCTTACGGTGGCGAGTAAAGTGTGGCAAGTGATGGCTGGTAGCATGAAGACATTGGAGACATGGGCCGACGTCTGAAAGCCTCCTGCAAAGGTTGCGACGAAGGTGCAGCAGTGTCACTGGTGCATCCACTGGCGGTGTCCAAAGCTTCTAAAGTTCTTCTCGAACAATATCTCTGATCAGGTCACGTAGAGAGCCCGATCGTCCAGAGTCACTGAAGAGGCGTTGATTGGGGTGGTGGTGGACGAGCAATCACACTGTCTCGAACTTTGGTGCAGAGCACGCTCAATGGCAGTGGCTTCTATTATAAAATCGGCCACGATAGCTGGGGCATCGTGCACAAGTCCGGCGAACAGTTGTTCCTTCACGCCGCGCATAAGGTAGCGCAACTTCTTTTCTTCGGACATATTGGGATCAGCCCGACGACACAGGCGTGTCATGTCTTCAGCAAACATTGCCACAGTTTCGTTATGTTTCTGAAGTCTTAACTCGGGCAACTGCTCAGCCTGCTCTCGACGGTCGACGCTAGCAAAGGTGTCAGTCAGCTGCTGACGAAACTCATCCCATGTCGATATACGGCCTCCTCGATTCTCAAGTTACGTGTGAGCACTGTCATCGAGGGTGAAGTACGTGCAGGCGAGCTTCTGTTGAGCATTCCACTGGTTAATGTCGGCAATACGTTCGTAATGTTCAAGCCAATCTTCAACATCTACCTTCATGTGGGGCACCACTGAAGCGATCAAGTACAAGTGGCTGAAGAAGCGTTACCTAGGCTGGATTGGAAACAGGGCTGCCTTGTATCCCTTGGACTACCTGTGGCTGGCTGGCGGAGGCCGTTGGCAGAGGTACGAAATGCCTGGTAGAATGTTTGTCCAAGGAGGTCAGCTAAGGAGACAGGCCTAGCAACCACCGACTAAAGCGGTGCACTGTAGTCGCAACAGGTGACTGCGTGTCGGGACTTGAAGAACGGCTCCCAGATGGGGTGCAGAGCATCGGTAGCTTGCAGTCCAGCACCTCCACCAGTGTCGCGGTTAAACGTAAGCATACCATTGAGACGTTCAGTCCGAGAACAGACGGCATGTTTTTATGCAGCAGCCAAAGGCATAAAAAAGCACATAGTCTTTTTTGGTCAGTGTCCCTTTTCACGAGACTGTTGGCGCACACATCGTCTTCGTTCTCCATTTCAAGCGCGGCAATATGCATTGAAACATCTTTGGCCATCAAATGCGCAACGGAAGCTGCAATGACACTGTGCATGGAGTTGTGGTTGAATCGGTATGCAGAGCAAACCAAGTTGTATCCACAAACATTGCAAGCGAGCTTTGTTTTCTCTGTAATATGACCCTTGGTCCATGGATGTGTTGGCGGCCTCAAGATAAAGGTGCATATATTGATGCTGTGGCAGTGCGATGTTTGGCACAGTGTGATCGCCAGTCAGTCTGGCACAGTGCGATTGCTTCTCAGTCTGGTAGAAATCAGTGCCATATATGATAATTTTACTAGAATGATGCAGTAAATCAAGCTTGGTGCACTTCCTAGCAGGAGTGGAATCACTGAGATCATTCGTTTCATTCTACCATAGTCAGATAATTTTTTTTAGCGCTATTGACTACAAAAACGAATCCTTTGGCTACCACGCAGCTTCCACAAAAAGGACGAACTCTAACAATTCTTCGATATAGCCAAGCTTCATTATGAAGTATCTATTGTGTTAGTACTTATACTAAAGTTCAAAAATAAGCAATTGATTTGAATACAGCGGACAGTGCATTTTTTAATCTTCACATATGCATGAACGCACTCTATCGTACCAATTGCCAGTACAAAATCACCAACGTTTCAAAACATTACTGGCAATCACGCAGCGATGCCCAAGATACTGCTGCGGCCCTGAGAAACCCTAAGCATTACAACACAAGTTTGGCATGTTATCCTAAGTTATATTTGTGAGAACTGACATGACAAACAAAGTCCCAATTCACGTTGCTGCCCCCCGAGTGAATTATTAAGAGCCTACTGTAGTTCTGATCAGCAACAAAAGCCAGCATTCAGTAAACAGCCCGAATGCAGGCGATGCGAAGCACCACGGGAGAAACGAACCGAGGATAGCTTGAAGCCAAATAGAGCTAATACATATACTGTCCGACGATGCTCGTCACTTATGGGTTGTCACTTGTCCCGTAATAAAAGCATGCAGCATGCTTGAAGCAAGTGCAACCACTTTTTTAGTTTTAGATACCTGTGCTACTAAACTAAACTCAATGGCGAGTTCCTGTCATTTTTACAAAGCTATGTACAGTTCAGAGCAGTCTCGCACAAAGTGGCGGCGAACTTGTTAACGACAAGCATGGCATGCTAAGGTTGTAATGCATTAAAAAAAAAAAGCCTGCGTGGAAGGTGCAGCACAGTCACAGTGAATGCTGGAAAAGCTGTTTGTCTAGAACGTTTTTTGAACACATTTAAAGCAACTACAATTACAGGTACACTTGCATGGCACCTACTACACTATAAATCATAATTTTGTGCAGTGGGGATGCATCCCCATCATTCTTCAGAAAAGTGTGGTACCCACAGCAAACTTGAAATGCACTTTGGAAAGCACTTGGAAAGAATTTCGTTGAGTCTGTGGCTGACAATAAGGAAGAATTCTGCCAGAGGTTTTTGTAATGGGTTGGGGCATGTAGCTAAGTCGTTACGCAATTTGCATTGTGCGATACCTGGCTGTTACTTAAGTGTTCCAAAATGCTATGCTTTATTACATACGTTATTGTCATTCTTTACTCGACATGAAGACTGCATACAGTAAGTATGCAAGAGAGCCTCGAGCACTGTCAAGGCTCAGTGGTAGAGTACAGGACTGCCACGCAGAAAGACCGGGTTCGATTGCCATTTGGTCATCAGCCCTTTGCGTTGGTTTACTTTTTTTTTTCGCGCGATAGCGGTTATGAACACAGACTACGACTATGGCAGACAGACAACTACTATGCCATAATCTGCCCTTGTCGCGATCTCATAACAGCTTTCGCTTTAAAAAAATTGCCATGTTTGGAATAGTGCTATGAATCAACTTGCTGCATCACCATGACATGATACTGGGTGCAACACACCTAGCACTCTGCAAGGAAGATGCATGTCTTACACAAGGAGTTTTGCTGACATTGTATCACACTGGTTGTTAACTGCACCCTTCTACGCATGCCTATTCTATTTTTTCACCGATATATGTACAGCACTCCATTATTAAATTATTGTTGCAAGTCAGCGCTCTTTTCTATCCTTGTTTCTTACTTCTGTAGATATGCTGTAACTACTTCTAGGTTGCGCTATTCCTATATTCAGTTATGCCCCATAGACTTCAAGACCTTCCCCCAAGCCACAAATGAATGACACCAATGCAGCATAACACAACTGCTGGACAATATATGCTGAAATAGAAAAAATAGGACACTTGAGCTTCACTGTTAAGTGTACAACGCGAGAGCGCAATCAGGTCCCATTCGTGTTGCCTTTCTAACTGCTAGCCTGACCACTTCTAGGTTGACGCCTTAACCGTGCCACTAGGAAAGGAACGTCTGTGCGTTTCACATTCGCCACTTTAAACTGTCCTAGAATGCCTACCGCAAATAGGGTTGCCAAGTGCCCACCATACATCTGTAAGGCAGTGCATGCAACCGCTAAGCTGCATATTTTGCTGTTGCTGATAATGCTTGATTACGCCCATACGCTTTGCATATGGCAGGCCTTTCAACTAAATTGCGTATTGGGCAAATCACATGTTTTGATGCCTGGTGCGATCCTATGCTTCTGCCATGCAATATACAGTGAAACCTCGTCAGCACGCTTAAAGCGGGAACGCACTAACGGCTAAAACGTAGTTGCGACAAATCCCTGACCGAGTCTCCTAGAGACTAATGCATTCGCGGACCACTTAAGCTGCAGTGTTCGGCGTATGCCTACCGGTTAGTGTGTACTAACTGCGTACAGCGATAACATTTTGCGCGACAACTTTATTGTTCCGCTGAACTTTGCAGACGCCACAATGTGCCGTGAATGGTTTTCCATCATGTTGATAAGTGCGGAGATCAGCAGATAAGCCATTTCGACTTCCGTGCGATCGCGGCAATGGCATTGCGAGGAACCATCGGGGAAAAAACGAAGGCGAGGTGGCGACCACCGATAAATGTGCCGGTATGACTTATCACCGGCGAAAAGCCTCGTCACAGTAAACATCCCCAGTTATCTGCTCAGGCACGCGCGTGGCGTACCATCACTTTAGGCCTACTTCACGCTTTTAGTAGGACTACCTGAACGTGCTGGGCCGCCGATCGCTGCCGCTTTGTTTTGCGGGACCGTGTTCAGGCGCGCACCGCTTGACAGAAATGCAAGCAGCTCGCTGTCATGGAGTTTAGGGTTGCAGATCGCGAGCACTGAGAAACCTTGCTGTATTACGCCAACACACGCACCGTACAGCGAGCGTAGGGCTGTTGTTACCATGCTGCACGCTTTTAATTAGCAACAGCCCAAATGCACCTCGGTCCGCTGCCAAGACTGCTAGAGCATCGCGGAGAGCACATTGCTTGCAGAAAGCTCTTCATCGCCGCGTTAACCCAGCAGGCTACTGGCCGAATCTGTGCGTATCCTGAAGTGGAGAGGGTATACTCAACAGCAAGTGAACCAGCAGTCATGGTGTGCGCAGAGCGAGCGAAACGCTGCACGCAACTAGCCCCGCAGTAAAAGGTTTGGTTCTGTACCGCGTCTGTACCGCAGCTTACCGCGCTCTGTACCGCGACTTCACCGCGTCTTAAAAAAAAAAAAAAAACTGCGTCAGTTTTCGCTTAGAAGCAGACCACGGATCAACTGTATCACAGACAGGCAATTGTGTCCATTCTATCGCTGTACCACACTGCGTATCCCGGATCCCGCGGCAGTATCGAAATGCTCATTGGCGTCGCCATCCCGTGCTATAGGGCGGTTGTGCGAGAGTCAGACACTTTCCTGTAGTTTGGCTAAAGGGAAGAAGTGACTTTGCGGTGGGCATTTCAGGCAATATTTCCAGTGGCACCGAGTTTATTCCTTTGTTGGCGGTGATGGCGCATGCCAGGAGATGGAAATTTGTAGCTGGTGGTTAATGCGTAGTATGTTTAGTGCGTAGTTATGCCATCGTCCCTGGCAGGTATGTATTAATGGGGTTTCATTGTACTAATGCGTGAAGGAGAATCCTCAGACTACGCGACCTTCCTATAGGGCTTTTAGAGCAAATAGTAGTTTCAAGAAGTGGCACAGCTCTGTAATTAGGGGTACTGTTGGTAGCTACTTTGCGACCATGTCTGGCGACAAAAAGTTGAGATCACCCCCTTGGCTACTGCCTGGTTACTTCAAACTTCCGTTGTGGCGCACTTACTAAAAATTTTTTTTTTTGCATTATTTCAAGACAGAACAGCAAGCATTTTTAAAACAATAACTATCATTTGCAAGCTTCTCTATCAGGTTCATCTTAGCGCGAGCATTTATGTACTACTCCCGTCAGCGGACTAGTGCGCATTGAGGCACTCTGCGAGTATCCCTCTGTCTAAAATACACAGATATGCACATGTAAGGAAATGAGCAGCTATATAGCACACTACTGATGCCAGGTGCTAATGCTAAAACACCATGCGTCTAAGAGTTATCCATAACAAAATGAAGCTATTGTTCACCTTAAATGAGATTTCCCTACTGGAAGTTGGACTGGTATCATTGCAGCTCTGTTACAATATCGCTCTACAGCTTCAAGACAGCTTCAGCATTTATTGTTCTTGCAGAGTTGTTGGCTCAAAACATGCTTTTGAAAGAACTCTATTGTAGACTGGCTGTATGCAGGCACACTAAAAGTATAATTAGCAAATTTGCAACTAACGTGCAGCTTAGAGATCAAAAGTGAAAAATATTGTGTTCCTTATACTCCATTTATGCTTATTCAGAATTATGATAATGTTGAATACTAACAACTCTACACACATTTTTTTTTTGTCTGGCATCAAATTTGGTGCTAAAACTCAATGGCATGGCTACTTTGGATACGTTTACCTTGAGTTTAGCTTCTTATGAAATCTTCCCAACAGAACCCTGTCTAAGATAGAACTGCGCTCCGGGCAGAAGCCCTGGGTTCATTTCACGTTCAAATTGAACATTTTTTGCACATGGACAATGCCGATTGCTCGCTTGCAACAACCATGCCGAGGAAGCACCCCACCTCATTTTCAGAAGATCTAAAATAAGCCCCCATGATCGATCCGGGACCGAGCGACCACCTTCTCTCAAATCTGGTCCAATTATTCTTTACCCTTATGAGGGGAGGGGAGGGTTTCTTGTTGGGCAGTTTGCGTTAAGATGCAGACGCCACAATTCTAGCAGAACAAGCTCTTTTTAACGCTGTCTTGTTAGAACAAACAAGGCAAAACCAGTCATGCCATTCGCAAGGGACTTGCCTTTTCCAGGGAGACAGTCCGCGAGGCAGGAGCTCTCGTGGCTTGCGGCGCTTTGAACCCGAAGGAAGAATGGGCAGTGCAGTGGTGGAATCTGGCACCACGGCGTCCATCTCTCCTCCGGGCTCCTTGCGCTGAGTCACCAGGCGTCGCAGCTGGTTCAGCAGCACGCATGCTGGAACCAGTAGAGACATGTCAAATATGAACTAATGGCCGCTACACTTTCTTGGCACAAGCATTGACGAGAATGAGACACGTGCAGACTACCTTAAAATCTAAAATTGTAAGCTGCTACAGCTCGCTTTTGCAGTGCTGAAAACTTGCAGCATATCCAAGAAGTGAATGACGAGTAGGCGAAGCAGTGGCATCATTCGGTGTTATCCTAAATCACCCGTGACAGTGACCACTCAAGCATGTAAATAAGTGCCAAGTAGTGCACAGTAATACAGGGTGCCCCACACAACTTGAGCCAAGAATTAGAAAATGAAAGACACTTCAGTGGCGAATTGAACCAAACGCGTACTACTCGTACTAGCCTGTAGGTACTCGGGCTATTTTTCATTTCTATCTATACTAATTAATTAGTTAATATTTATTACCTATTTTTAAATTATAGGCTGGAAACCCAAAATATGAACACTGAGATGTACAGCACTCTTAGAAACCACCAACTAAATTTAAATTGTTTCCTGTACGATACGTCTAGCGCTGTTATTTTTTCCGCATTGTAAAGAAAGAGGCTACGTATAGAGGTTACCATGCATGTGCAGTGCCGTGACGGCAGAAAGCGAATGAATGGTCTGTAACATGCTCGTTCTTCATCGTGGGCATTATCCTCATGACGTATAGAGGTTACCATGCATGTGCTGTGCTGTGACGGCAGAATGAATGTGTGGTCTGGGACATGCTTCCTTATCCCAAACGCCATCGTCATGGCGTACAGTGGGTATCATGCATGTCCTCTGCCATGATAGCAGAACGGAAATTCGTTATCTGGAACGTGCTTGTTCTTTATGATGGTTGGCATCATCATCATGGCACGTAGTGGGTACCCTGCATGTGCTGTGCTGTGATGGCAGAAAGAGAATGTGTGGTCTAGAACGTGCTTGTTCTTTATGATCGTTGGCGTCGTCATCATGGCATATAGTGGGCAGCTTGCGTGCGCTGTGCCATGATGGCAAAAAAGAAATGTGTGGCCTGGAACATGCTTGTTCATTCTGGCCGTCATTATCATGGCATACATGGGTACCTTGCACATGCTGTGCCGCGATGGCAGAAAGAGAATGTGTGGTCTGCAATGCGCTTGTTCTTCATCAGAATCATTGTCAGCGGCTGCAATGCCGCGCCAGAGGACAGGCCTTGTTCATAAGCTGCTTTGCACCTAACAAATAGACACCCTGGTTTATTAACAGCTGCCTTCGCTATGTCTGGCTTACCCCATAAATATCTCCGTCCGTAGCAGGCTGCACACGATGGGTAGGTGAGGATGGATAGATAAACACGCTCAAATCTCTTTATAACGAAGTTGAAGGGAAGCCACAATTATTTCAGTATATCCATTATTTTTTATATAGATTAAAACAGTTTGCGGCAATGTATGCTCAGATGGGCGCACACCTATAAGCATGCAAAGAAGACAACCATCTCGCGGCCCGATGTACCGCTACGCGACCACGCGTGCCATGGAAAACACTCAGTCAAATCTCATTAATTAGAACTTTCGGGTAATTCGAACTCGCGCTGAGGTCCCGCCAAAGCTATGAGTATTCCAATGTACGATATATCTAGCGCTGTTATTTTTTTTTTTGCGTTGTTAGCACTTATTTTTTCCGCGAAAGCCTATAGCAGCCCTATAGCAGTGCGCTCGCGGTCCATCACATGGCTTCTCTTAACATTTCGCGGGCTTTCTTTAAAATGTGGAAAAAATAAGAGCGCGAGATGTATCGTACAGGAAACAATTTAGTCGGTGGTTTCTGAAAGCGCCTTACATCTCAGTGTTCGTTCATATTTTGGGTTTCCAGCCTATAATTTAAAAATATGTAATTAAGAATTTAAATTAATTACTATAGGCCGAAATAAATAATAGCCTGAGTACCTACAGGTTAATACGAGTAGTATGCGTTTGGTTCAATTCACCTCCTAAGTGCCTTTCACTTTCAAATTCTTGGATCAAGTTATGTGGGATACCCTGTATACAATGCTTATTGATCATAACTGGTATGTTTTTTTTTAATTCCCATTTTCATTTTGCTTTCATTAACACTGCTTTGTGGTACCGGATCCAGCCTGAAGTTGTCAAAAACGAGGCTGTGCACGCTTCCGTAGTGTTGATTGGTTGTTTCTGGTCGTACAAAATGCACCGTAGAGCATATTCAGAAGTCATATACTGCACAAGCCAGTCGTTGTCTATGACCATCATTTTCATCATCATTATCATGGTGTATAGTAGGTACCTTGCATGCGCCGTGCCGTGATGGCAGAAAATTAATCTGTGGTGGTGAACGTGCTTGTTCTTCGCCATAGTCATCGTAATGGCATATAGCGGGTACCATATATGTGCTGTGCCGTGATGACAAAAAGAACGTGTTCTGGACGTGCTAATTCATCATCCTGACAATATCATGGCATATAGAGTGTACCCTGCATGTGCTGTGCCGTGATGAAAGACAGGTTTGTGTGGGCAAAATTTACTATTAAAATATTAAACATAAAACAATGCCCTGCCTGCTACAGCAAAGCTTTGCAAAATACCGAATTAACCGAAAAAAAAAAATGAATAGGACAAGTGCCAAATGGTAATTTCAAAGAAGGAAAGAGCGAGAGAAAAAGGAGGTGAAGGAGAGAGCACCCCCACTGTCGCCAACCACATCCAAGAGAATGAGCAAGGACTTCAGCGATATACTGAACAAAACCATATAACACAGGACACAAATAAATATTCGGTCTCGACTGACAAATTTGTGACTAGCAATTTTGCCCTTCCTTCATTTTTTCCCACACCGACATGCCCAGATTCTCACCATAAATATATGCGCATAAACATCATCCACATACATACCGTATATGCTCGCATAATAATCGCACTTTTTTATTCAAAAAAATTGACTCCAACTTCGGGATGCGATCATTACACGGGGTAAATTTTCCGTGAAAAAATATTCCGAGCACCGGGAATGCAAAAAAGTCGCTAATCAGAATTTTTACGGCAACTATCATGAACATAACCAAAAATAAAAGTAAACGAAGGCTTACCTTTGTAATAAAATGCAGGCATTATGCAGGAGCTACATACATGGCACACTGCCATTTTATTTTTTACCTCTCTGACCCCCTAATGTTCATTCAGACTCCGAAGCATCACTGGCGTCAGTGTCGTCGCCGCACGATTCCCTGTCGGAACTGGCAGTGTCTTCACTGTCCCACAGAGGGTCATCTTCCATTCTGTCGAGCGCGTTGGAAATGCCAGCGACAGTCCATTCCGTCGCATGAAGCGTGTCGTCCAGTCGGAACTGGCACGGAAGTCCTTTGTGGCTACTCCCAGCCTCTGGGAAACTGTGCACGCCTCCGTCTGTATCATGTATAATGACACTGCATAACCGTCCTTGCGCATGTCCTTCACGTATTCGAGGACTGCCTTTTCAATGTCAGGGAACTTGCCAGATTTGGGTCCGCGGAAAGCCCATCGCGTGCTGTTAGTAGCCATGAGCATGTCGCGGTGTTTTTTTTCCAATATCGGATCCGGATTTCAACGACGCCGAAATGTCTGCCGGCAGCGCGGTTGCCGTGCTCTGGCGCGTAGTCAAGCGGCTTCAGCTTGAACGCGGCAGTAAAGCTCGCAAACTGCCCCATGGTGTAGCGGCGCTTCAACAGACGATCACAAAGCACACCAGAAAAAAAAAACATTGCTGCGGGATGAACGCACGTCGACCAACAGGCGGCCACCGCAGTAACAGTGCGGGATGTCAAAACAAACATGGCGGCTGACGGAGTGAAGCACTCCGTGGAGTGAAGCCACCGCATTTTTTTTTTTTTTTTGCATCAGTTATGGAGATTTTGAGTAAGTCACGCGCGTCAAAACAGTTTCTTCCATCTAAATAAGATTGATTGATTGATATGTGGGGTTTAACGTCCCAAAACCACTATATGATTATGAGAGACGCCGTAGTGGAGGGCTCCGGAAATTTAGACCACCTGGGGTTCTTTAACGTGCACCCAAATCTGAGCACACAGGCCTACAACATTTCCGCCTCCATCGGAAATGCAGCCGCCGCAGCCGGGATTCGAACCAGCACCCTGCGGGTCAGCAGCCGAGTACCTTAGCCACTAGACCACCGCGGCGGGGCTTCCATCTAAATAAGGAATGCTTTCATTTAAATCAGTAAATTTAGGGCATTAGCATAGTGATGCCCGCTTTCAGATCACAGAAACAATGATAGGCGCGTTCAGCTAGACTTGGCACATGACATGTCAATGCGGCAAGTTGAGGGTGCGATCATTGCCCGCCGCCTAGGTATAGTGGCTAAGGTACTCGGCTGCTGACCCGCAGGATCGAATTCCGGCTCTGGCAGCTGCATTTTCGATGGAGGCGAAAATGCTCTAGGCCTGTGTGCTTAGATTTGGGCGCACGTTAAAGAACCCTGGATGGTCGAAATTTCGGGAGCCCTTCACTACGGCCTCTCTCATAATCATATGGTGGTTTTCGGACGTTAAAGGAGCCCTGACAAATCTGAGGCCACGAGCCTACAGCATTTTCACCTCCATCAAAAATGCTGCCGCCGCAGCAGGGATTCAATCCCACGACCTTCAGGTTAGCAGGCGAGTACCTTATCCACTAGACAGACCACTGCGGCGGGGTGGCAGAAAGGGAAGGTGCGGTCTGGAACGTGCTTATTCTTCATGATCGTGGGCGTCATCGTCATCGGACATACTAGTAGGTATCTTGCATGCGGTGGGCCGTGATGGCAGTAAGAGAATGTGTGGTGTGGAATGTGCTTGTTCCTTATGATCGTGGAAAAGAACGTCATGGCATACAGAGGGTACATTGCATGTGCAGGGCCGCGATGGCAGAAAGAATGTGCGGTCTGCAACATGCTCGTTCTTTCTCATGTGCATCATCGTCATGATGAATAGCGGGTATTATGCATGTGCTGTGCCGCGACGAAAGAAAGAGAATTTGTGATTTGCAACGCACTTGTTCATCAAAATGTTTGCCAGCGGCTGCTATGGGGCGCCAGAGGACAGGCCATTTTCACAAGCTGCTTCGCAACTAAAAAGGAGACACCCTAGTTTATTAAGAGCTGCCTTCGCATTGTCCGACTCACCCCATAAGTTACTCCGTCCATAGCAGACTGCACACAATGGGCAGGTGAGGCTGGATACACAGATATGTGGGTTTTAACATCACAAAACCACCATAGAATTATGAGAGACGCTGTAGTGGAGGGCTCCAGAAATTTGGACCACCTGGGGTTCTTTAACGTGCACCCAAGTCAGAGGTGAGGATGGGCACCCTACTTAATTTGTAATGAAGGTGCTCGAAATCTTCTTGATGCCTGTACTATGTAGGATCTGTTTTGTCCTTGTTTAACATGCATAATTATGGCCATGCCAGTCTTCGAAGGTAATGGCAGCTATGTCACCTTGATGTTGCATTCCAGGAGGTGTCCACCAAAGCAGGCTACTATGAAAAGCATGTCATCACATATTTTTCGTATTTAAAATCACTGACAATCTTGTTTTATGCTGGACTTGACCACACCTGAGAATGGAAGAGGGGGGGGCACTGAACATTGAATTTGAACTTCTGCTTCGCTTCTAATAGAGAACTTTGCAGGGGCCTATGTTTCTAGGTACACCCCTGCTCACTAAATAGCTATCTCTATGCAGGATCCCCAAACTTACCAGACTTCGTCTTCTGACGGCCCTCCCGGCCAGGCAACGGTGGCGGGCTGGAGCCCACCAAGTGGGAAGAACCAATGAGCACTTCCACCAGGGAGACCAGGCGGTCCAGATCTTCCCTGCATTAAGTGCCACTCGGACCTCATTATAACATCACACTCGAACCTCATTATAACAAACTTGCATCTTACAAGAAAATGGCTTCTTATATCCAAAAATTTGTTATAAAAGTTTATTCCAAGTGCTGTACTGCAAGACTTCATTTATTTCATCATAACTGGCACTACTTTATATTGAGGTTTGAGTGTATACAACTAAGAGGGCTAACATCGCAGCAGTTGTAGCAGAACACGAGTTCCACGCGGCTGGGCATCATTTTAGCAGCTAATGCACAGCTCCAATGCTCGATTTCAAGCCAGGTTTATGTACATTGGTTAATCTGTGTCATTTAACACATCAATCCTACTGGCTTTGAGAAGATAATTGGGGGTTCCAGATAATTTCTGCCAAACGACGGTTCATTATTTGTGCCAAGACGAACTGAAAGCCACAGAAACAACAAGAATGAAACTGAAGAGGATTAAAGACACAAGATGGAGAAAGATATAGCAAGGGATTGATTGATTTGTGGGTTTAACGTCCCAAAACCACCACATGATTATGAGAGATGACGCAGTGGAGGGCTCCGGAAATTTCGACCACCTGGGGTTCTTTAACATGCACCCAAATATGAGTACATGGGCCTACAACATTTCCGCCTCCATCGGAAATGATATAGCTAGGGAGAGAAATGCAAAAAAACACCATAAAAGAGATAGAAAGAAACTGACCAAGACTGAAAGAAAAAGACAAAATAACGACACCGACAAAAAAAAACAGAGGAAGACATAAAAAGAAAGAAGGAAACGGACAAAGGCACAAAAAAAAAAACCAAACATAAATTGAAAAAAAAAAATGAGCAAGAAGGGCCACCCAGTTGCACTCTTGCTTCAGGCTTGACAATGCAGCTGGTGTAACGCCGTAATTATCACGATTTCTTTTTCACCGCGCACTCGCAAGACAGTGCACATTCCACTAGCATACGGCCTCCATCATTCGGATAAGCAGCTGAGCATTGTAACCACCGAGGCACAGTGGCTGCTGCAGCCCTCAACTTCAACATAAGCGCAAGCGAACTTCCCCACCAAAAACAAAGGCTAAGTAACCAACTACAGTAGACTCTCGGTAAACGAAAATCTGTTCAGCGCAACTGCCTTTAACACAATCGCTTGCCTGCTGGTACACTCGGACCTTATAATAGCGAAGTTGCATCTTACATGAAAATGTGTTCGTTATAACCAAACATTCTCTATAAAGGTATGTGCCTAACACTATTGCAAGGCTGTTTTTATTTACAGTAGAATCACGATAATTCAAACTCTGAAATAACCAAAAGTATAAATTATCAAACAAAATTTAATTTTCTCGTTGGCCTTAAAAGTCTAAATTCAAACTCCATCATTCGGTTAATTCACACTTTTTGCGGGTCCATACCAGAAAATATCTACTGCTTTCTCACTACTATTTGAAAACTTGCATGCTTATATAATCCTGACAGTCAAAAAATGAAAAATAAGCACTCGAGGCCTTTAAGAAAAAAGGCATTGCAAGAGAACAAATGTATGAAACGAAGCACACACAAGGTAAATCGTAATGCTTCTCAACTGGTATAGAGAGCTTTGTACGGAAGGCACATACCTCTAGCAATGAAGCAGTTGGCAATTCACGATTCCTTTAAAAGTTCTGATCACCATTAAATTGCCAATAAACTTGTCAACTGTACCCCTCTTCTTTCTGTTCAGAGCGAGCAGTTAGGGCTTACAAACACTTAAATTTTTAAATGTCATAAGATCAATGCCTAATCATAATGTGTGATGTCACCTCATCAAGAGTCATCCGAGAACTTCTGATAATTCAAACGTTTTGATAATAAAAATAAAATTCAGAGGTCCCTTCGAGTTTGAATTAACGAGATTCAACTGTACTTCCTTATAAGCAGTATTTCATTAAATCTGGGTTCGTTATATTGTCACGACGTCGAAACAGAGGTCTTGCGGCAGAAACTGAGACACCAGAAGCAGGTAGGTTCTTTTAATAGAACGCGCAAGAGAGTTCTTTTTCATCCATTTCATTGTACTTCATGGCACATGCACAACTGTCATTGTCTTTCTTTTTGACAAGCACGTGACATTTGCCTCCCTCCGAAAGAGGCATCGTCCTGATGCGCAACCTAGGCGCTCTACCAGGTGTATGAAGTGGTCGCGTCAACTGGATAAATACAGTTTCATACGCACGACGTGTACGACTTCGGGTAAATGATTTTGACGCTTAGAACTACAGTCAGTGTCAGGAACAACTTCATAGTTCACGTCGTTCAAGCGTCGCGCGACGCTGTATGGGCCAAAGTATCGTCTTAGCAGTTTTTCCGACAGTCCACGTCGACGTATCGGAATCCAGACCCAGACCTTGTCGCCTGGTGTGTAACTAATAAACTTGTGTCGGGGGTCGTACCGTTGTGCATCTTGATGCTGTTGATGACAGATGCGCACACGCGCGAGCTGTCTGGCTTCCTCGGCGCGCTGAGTGAACACTTCGGCGTCCACATGGATGTCGTCACACTCATGCGGCAACATGGCGTCCAACGTTGTCGCGACTTCGCGACCATAGATCAGACTGAACAGTGTCATTCCAGTGGTTTCTTGTCGAGCGGTATTATAGGCAAAGGTCACGTACGGCAATATCTGATCCCAGTTTTTATGCTCTGTGTCAACGTACATGCTGATCATGTCTGTGAGGGTCCTATTGAGGCGCTCTGTCAGTCCGTTTGTCTGCGGATGGTAAGCAGTTGTTTTCCGGTGAGCTGTACCGCCGAGTCTGAGAACCGACTCCAAAAGTTCTGCGGTGAAGGCAGGTCCTCTGTCTGTGATCACTGCTGTCGGAGGGCCATGCCGTAGGACGATGTTTTCGATGAAGAACTGAGTGGCCTCTGCTGCTGTGCCGCGCTGCATAGCTTTAGTCTCCGCATAACGGGAGAGGTAATCGGTGGCCACGATTATCCATCTGTTACCTGTTGTGGAAGTTGGAAAGGGGCCCAGGAAATCCATTCCAATCAGAGTGAACGGCTTCGCTGGTGCTAGGACTGGATGTAAAAGACCGGCTGGCTTGCCAGGAGGTGCTTTGCGTCTTTGGCAGTCGGTGCAAGTTCGCACGTGATGGTTAACATCAGCGGGTAACTTTGGCCAGTAGTACTTGCCTCGCAGTCGGCACAATGTTCGGGTGTAGCCTAGATGACCAGAAGTTGCTTCATCATGGCACGCTTCCATAATTTCTTTTCGAAGAGAGGCAGGCACGACGAGCAAGTGCGGGTTGCCGGTTGGTGAGAAGTTTCTCTTATAGAGAACATCGTTTCGCAAGCAAAAAGATGGCAGTCCTCTGGCAAATAACCGCGGCACGTCCTTACGTCGTCCTTCTAAATATTCAATGAGTCGTAACAGCTCGGGGCCACTGCGCTGCTCCTGTGCAATAGTGGCCGTGTTGACGACTCCCAAGAATGCCGCGTCGATGTTTTCGTCATCACGACCGACAGTCTCCACTGGCGACCGTGAGAGACAGTCGGCGTCGGTGTGCCGCTTCCCAGATTTATAGACGATGGTCATGTCGAACTCTTGAAGTCTTAGGCTCCAGCGTGCCAAACGGCCAGATGGATCTTTAAGGTTGGTGAGAATACAATAACATCGTCGAGATATCGTGGTTGTTTTTCACAACCTTCATCATACCTCAGTAAATGCTAAATGCAACACATTTTCGTGGTCCCTTCAGATTCGATTCAATGAGTCTATTGTAGTTGAACCATTCTACTGCTACTTCAATAAACACACACAGCAAACCGATTGGGATCTCTCACTGCCTCGTGGTGCCAAATGCTCGATGTTATGTGCACCACAGACCAATCAGAGCATGTGATTCATGCGCGAATGGTCCATGACATCATACACAAAGATTTAGGTGAGAAATTTAGAATCAACCCGAGCCCGATTTCTTCCTTTGAATAAACCCTCAATGTTAGAGACACTAGCATTCTCAGAGTACAATTTCCAACATAAACAATTCATTGGTTTGAGTGTTCTCTTTGATCCGTATTCATTAGATCGAGCCACTACATACTAAGATTGCCGAGAAACATTCCTATCACATTTGCAAATGATATTTACTGAGAATTCGTCACATTCCAGTAGTAGTAATAATATGGTTTTGGAGGGTTCAGCACTCCTTTCATTTCAATTAAGAAAACTTGAAGCATCCAGAAAAATGCTCCGCTTCACAGGAGTTCCCTTTACTGAAAGATGTACAGAGGCACGAAGTTCAAGCACGAAACCAGTCTTATCAAAGGCAGCAATTCTTTTTCACACAGTGACTTTTAATTGCAATCAAGCCAGATCGGAATAAAGACGATCCCGATCTGTGCCTCTCAATCTGGCTTCAGGATCGAAATTTCTCCAATGTCTGCACCAAACTCAACCTGGATTAGGCTGTATTGAGTAATGACGAATTATTTGTTATCACGATTGAAAAGTCTGATCTAGATCAGCCCCGGTCGGGAGCCCCGGTCAATATAACATTTCCGTTGCCTAGAGTCTACCGAATTTAAGTTTTAACTGCTGATCTTTAACAAAAGTGATTAAAACAGCCTTAGTGGCACATCGGAGAAGTTCATAGACGCTTGCACCCAGCACTAGATTACCCCGTTCACATTCGGACAGTGCAGGTTCCGATAGCGCAGGTTCCAATATTTGCAGCAACTAGGAGCGTTTCCACACACCTGTTGGCTCCCTGCACTGCTGAAGAGCAGCAGAGGGTGGGCGCAAGGACGAGGGCCAGGTTGTGTGCTCCCATGCGGTTGAGGGGCTCGGCTGCCAGCCGAGTCAGGCCTGACAGGAGATGGCGCAGGCACGCCAGCCGCTCCTCCGGCAGGATGCGAAGGCCCAGCAACACTGCCTCCAGGCCGTGCTTCACCTGGCACCTATTCCCACAATGGCACATTGATTTCTATAGTAAAGTCTATTGGTACGCTGAAACCTCGATATAATGAACCCGGATATAACAAACTATCGGCTATAATGAAGCAAGTCAACAATAGTTCTGTCATAGATATGGAGTGTAGAAATGTTCATAATAAATTTTTGAATACAACGAAGTATTTTCATGGCAGATGCGACTTTGTTAAAATGAGCTTTGAGTGTATCCCCTGCAGGCTTGAATTACGATGAACTGTCTACAAATGAGTCAACTTCACATATCAATTCCAAGTTTCAATATCACATTCTACGCGTTGCTTTAGCCACTATCAAAAAGCGAGTGTTTGACAGTTTAGTGCAGATTAGCACTTTTCAGTGCCGTATGGTAGATTAGTAGTTTCGCAGAAGCCTCAAGATTGAGGGCTCGGTAAATGTACTTGTCGATATGCTACTCCACAAATACATTGAGCGAGATACCAGTTCGCACAGCAGGCCCACCAAGTACAGAAGGGAAGATAAACCTAGATTTCCCTCAAAACAAGAACCCATTGAGTTGACAATTTTGTTATATACAAGACCAAATTCTATATACATGAAAGCAGATAAAATATCACAGCAAAGTTCCTTGCCAGCGACGCCCCTGCCTCACTGCAAATTTCTTAGGAAAATATACAGCTCCATATTTTTTTTTTTTCCTTCCTCATCTACTTACAAGATTCTACCTTGAAGGTTCCCTGCAACACTTTTTGAAGAAAACACTGCCAAGGCTCCCGAGAACATGCGAGCGATATTGTATAGCGCTGCCCACCCCGGGCCTGGAATTTACAATAAATTTTCGAAGCCTACTAACTATCACTTTTTCTTCTTTTGACAAACGACACTACTAGCTCAAAAGCACTACGTCCCAGACTGATTGCTTGACTTGAGCATTGTACACTCATTTGTTACTAGGACTGCCACCGAAAGCCACGACTTGTCCACACGTGTGATCGCACTGAAGAGCCGCACATTCGAAGGAAAAAATAAACAAGTGTTGAAGGCCACAAAGCGCACGCCTCCATGCCATCCCTTCCTGCTTAGGTTCCAGTGCTTTCATCAGTACAAGATATTGCAACAGGCGGCAAATCTTTGACTCCACTCATACAGGATGGATTCCAAAAATGTTTGCATTTCATGTTGTGAATTCATGGGGCAATAAGCTCCTTTAGTGAATCCTTCAAAAAGTGTCGCAGGGCCCCTTCAAAAGGACACAAAGGGAGTCGCTAAGTTGAGCAAGATTGAAAGATTAGGCTTATGTGACAACCAGTTCAGGAGAAATCAGTGTTTCTAAGCAAAGAAAGAACGAAAGAGTGGCACCCTTCATCATGCAATGTGCGCACTTCAATAAACAATGTCAAATTATTTGTTTTTATTACTGAAGGGCTAACAGATTAAGGTGAATTACACAAAATTTCGACAATAAATGCATGGCAAGCCAGAGTTGTTGCTGCATAATACATGCATGGTGTTCTCGAATGTACAATTCCCAAATATCTGCAGTTCAGGAGGCTGCACAAGGTGTGCATTCTATAACAAACTAGTCGCGCCCTCATGTTATGCAAGGAGAAGTCCCAAATAAAGAGGGAGCATTCGAAATGTAGCATTGGTGAACACATTGTCCCCCTGGAAGTGCCGTGCCGACAGCGCATTCTGCAGAATCACCTTTACTAGAAGAGCATCTTGACATTGGCGACGTGAAGTCCCCAATCAGTGCGGGCGATTTCAATTCAGCAGCAGCACCATGTTATCAGTGGGCATTTTGTATGTGAAAATTCACTTAGTGGCACGCAGCATTATACTCGAACACATGTAAGCAATCAATCTAACCAAGCTTAATACCCCGCCATAGGGTCCATAAGATGTGATCACGACAGTTGCGATGAAGGCTTGCTGGTAGCATGTTCAGTAGGTTGCCTTGTCAGGTAAAGACAAGACAGACATAGGCACTAGGCCCGCGAGAACATTCCAGCACTTGGAAGATTCAAATGAGTACGAGTACTGCAGTGTTCTAAGTCGCTTTGATAGGAATTTAAATTATTTTAAATGTCAAAGTATTTGAAATGAACAAGAGTTTGAGTGATGTCAAATAACACGTAACCCACTGTAAAGATGGTTTCAGTTCAGCGAAGGACTGCTGTGCTGCGAAAACACCTTCAAAGAAATATGCACTGCCACGAAGCCCCATTTCAAGGTTCAATGAACATACTACTAAAAGGTTCTTGTACTAGCTTATATGCTCAAAGGTAGTACATGTTAAAACTTGATCTATTTTATGGATTATCACTTGCATTTTACTGAAATTCAAATCTTTCTACTATAGTTAAACCTGCTTCCAATTCAGTTTGAACCAACAAAAAAATATTACAACCCGATATGCCTTGTTCAAGTTTTTTAAAGAAATATCATTCACGTTAGTTGGGTCACGATGAATATGCTCATTTTTTAACAATATGCAATATATAACAGTCAAACAATTACATTGAAAATTATTCGACCAAACCACTATTAGCTTCATATTCACTTTGAACCCAAAACTTGCAAGTCACACTTTCCTAGTAGGCACACATAGATGTGCAAGGGTCCGTCTGAGCCTACATTTGTCCTGTATTAACTCAAACTTCATTGTAACAAAGTTGCATCTTGCACGAAAAGAAGTTTGTTATATCTAAAAGTTCGTAGCAAATGTGTATTCCTAGCACTGTCTACTGCAAGACTATTCATTTACTTTGTTATAACCGATATTTCGTTATATTTGGGTTCGTTATATCAAGGTTCGAGTGCATTTACACTACAACAAAACTAACTGCAGAAGTGAAAAAGAAAGGAGACATTACAGGTCCAACTAATCTAGCATTCCCCTCCTAAAACAACGGTCTCCTCTACCTGAGCAGCAGCTGAAGAAGAGGCTTAGGCAGCAGAGGCTCAGGCAGAAGTTGCAGCCACTGCTTCAGGAGGCCAGACACGTCGTGCACAGGCGCAGACGCCAGAACCACAGAGGCAATGCTCAGCGAGGCACTCGTCTCCAACGAAGACTGCACAGACAGGGAACCGCGTAGTTAACGGGAAAGTTTTAAAATTGATACACATTGTATTGAATCACGACTGCACGACGCTACAACCATGGGCTGCATGCATGGCTACAAGAACATTTTGACAACTAGTGTCAGACTTCCAATTACGCAGACTGAAAAGGAAAGAAGAACTGAAGTTGGTCTGATTTATGAAACAAACCCGATGAAATCTATTGACAATAGAGTCAAGCAAAGTATAGAGGACATTATTTGCTGTCTTTGCTGTGTGAAAACCCAATACTCCGGCACACTGTGGCAATTCTGCATGGCCCAGTCTGGATGATGTCCAATGATAAAATATGCTGTCACTATACCAATTGCTTATGCACTTAAGTCTTTACGATTTTGTGCTTGTTTATGAAACAAACCCGATGAAACCTATTGACAATAGAGTCAAGCAAAGTATAGAGGACATTATTTGCCGTCTTTGCTGTTTGAAAACCCAGTACTCCGGCACACTGTGGCAATTCTGCATGGCCCAGTCTGGATGATGTCCAACGATAAAATATGCAGTCACTATACCAATCGCTTAAGCACCTACGTCTTTACGATTTTGTGCTTGTGTGCTGGCTACAAAAATCCAGGCGGTATCTCTCGCTTCGGTTGCATGCCTTGTTCTCAAACGCTGTTGATGCGTCAAAGAAGGCAGCAAGCCCCCGTTGTTAAAAAGAGCACTGGCACGAAAATTTACATCTCAATTTGCCTTTTGCAATTAGAAGCTAATATCCTGCCTATAATCGGCAAAAAGCTCGCTTGTTCACTACTCATGACTGTTAATTAGTTAGAGTGTTCCTATAGTGCGCAGGCGCATTTTCAGTTTGAAAGACAGTCACGAGAGGTGGGACACCCAATGGCTTTTGTGTAAACATAGCTGGCCAAGTGAGAACACAAAGGTCCATGCACATGAGCCCCGCATAAACAAACTCTTTTCAAAGAAGGCTCCTCCCAGACATCGCAAATATGTGCGACACCCGAAAATTGATCGCAGAGGCAAGAACGTGATCCTTTGTAGTCCTGTGCAAATCAAGTCCTACCTTTCTTTTCGTTGAAGAAAGTTACTATGAGAGAGCGATTGCAGCGATCGTAGCAGCCAATCAAAACTCGTCACAAGTGCCGGTTGGTTGTTCACACAAAAACCAAAAGTGTTCACATGCAGCGGTGCGACACTGACTTTAAAATTGATTTTCAATATGTTCTAGGCTACCTTATGTGTTGATATTTTGTAGACGATGCGCACATATCGCCACAAATCCCACAAGTTACATCAACTTCAAAATTATGTGTCGGCACACTTTTGAAGGACCCTACAAGACTTTTAGAGCATGGTCAGAAAACGCTGCCTATCGGCATTGGAGGCTCCAAACAACACACGAGCCAAATACCTACTGTAGCGCAGCATGCGACCTGGAATTAGCAGTAAATTTTCAAAGTAAGCTAAAAATTGCTTTCTCTTTTTTGCGCAAATGACGAAACAAGCTCAGAAATAGCTCATCACAGCCGTTGCATCAACCATTCGCGAATTCAAGCAAGGCGAGCTCCAATGTTACAAAAACTGCTGCGATTAGCTGCGACTTGTACCCCGTCCACACGTGATCGCACTAAAAAGCTGCTTATACAAAGAAAAAAAAAAGAAAAAGTGCTCAAAGTCACGATGAGTGTGTGGCAAATTTTCTTTCGCTGTGCTATCCCTCCCTGCTTAGCTTCACGTGCTTTCGTCAGAACGAGAGAATAGAGAATGCAATGGCAGCGTTTGACAAATTTTCGTAGCTCCAGTCATCCTGGACAGATTCCAAAACTTTTTGCAATGGCAAATTCACGAGGCAATAAACTCTTTTCATGAATCTATTCGATGGCTACTTGAAAAGGTGTTGCAGGGCCTCTTTAAGTTAGTCGGGTTTTCGCGCTTCTCAAGAATCTTCAAGGCATCATGCAGTAATTGCGACATACATGCAAGGGTCTTAAACTCGACAAAAAGTACTTGCCACCATTAAGGACCAAGCCTGCAAACTACAGATAACGTGCCCGATCCTCTACCTAAAGGAGCTGTGGTGAATGTTGTCCTCCAGTCCACTATATTGGTACTTAAGTTTTCGTTTAATCCTGGTGGTGTTGGTCAGTGCTGCTCTTAGACACACCTCCATCAACTAGTGTCAATCAGCCCGAAGTCACTTTACAAGCTGCAAAAGTAACAATCGTGACAAGAATACCAATACACTTTCAACCGTTACGTAACAAAATTTACAATCGCCTATCCCAAGCCGTTATAGCAAAGGTGTCGACTTGATTCTTTCAAGTAGTATGCAAGGGATCATTAGTCTGCCGTCTGCTCATTAAAAAGCTAATGTGCTACATCATGCAAGCTGGCAAAAGAGGAGTGTTTCATGATTGCTGCGAACGGTGCTTACAAACATTCCCTGTGCTTGCAAACACACTACTCCACAAAGTGATACTGTAGCTCAGTAGGTGAAGAACATTAAGCGCGTGATCCAAAGATTGCAGGTTCGATCCCCTGCCATTTCGTTCACTTTGCTTTCTTATATTCTGTACCACAGTTGCTGCAATACAGTCAACATCGAAGAATAAGCGTCCTCTTAAACTTCCTTGGCTTAGTTACTGGCTGGTTTTTATTAACAGTGGGCCAAACAAAAAAAAAACACAAGCCATGAAAAATCCCTATCTTCCCAAGCACATAAAAAAGTAATAGTTCACGATGGGTTTTTGGAGTTTCAGCCAAAATCAAACAAAAAAGATCCAATCCTTCTATAGAAGTGCTGTTTAAATCTTGCATATGCGAGATAACGCAACTGACCCTGAGCAGCCGCTGTCTGGAGAGCGAGCCCGACTTGCGAAGGATTCCTTCGGTCGACGCATGCGAAATGAGCACGCGCAGGCTCTCATCCAAAAACCTGTGCACAGAATAACAAGGTATTAGTATGGGTATTCACTTAAACGCCCAAAAGTCCTTCATGGGAACATAATATAGGAGAAGTGTCAATCACAAGCAAAGCAAATGTTTGCCGGAAGACAAAAAAAGATAGACACCATAAATGGTCTCTAGACAGAACAGAAAAAGACACCATTTTTTTGTTGCATCTCAAGTCCAGCAGTGGTTGCACATTTATGCAAGCGTGTAGTCACCAGCCCATCGAGAAGTAATGCTAAGGCAAATATGAACATCTGCAAGCCCGCCCTACCGCCGTGTACATTATCCCGACGAGTCAACACAGTTACACGAAGTTTGTGAACTCTGTGTCCTGAATGCAGGCTAAACCACAGAAACTGCGCATTCTTGGCTAGCTGCATCACAAACGAATGACAGATCTGCCACCACTAGATCACGAGTTGCTGTCTACCCGCGAGATCACTGTAATGAGACATTGCCGAGAAGCCACCCCCTCAATATCGAAACTGTTGTGTCTGCTGCAGTGTCACGGACCGACTTTCCACTAAGCACGCGTGATGTTCTTTGCTCTGTTCCCTTCCTCCCAACCCCCTCACCATCATCTTATGTTAACACCCTACTGCAGATAATAAACGTCATTCTTTGCTCGTTTTCCAAGCGGGTGAACATGTGTTCCTTTCGTGCCGTGGCCAGCAGGCCGAAACAGAAACAGTAAACTTGACAGGAACCAAACATTCTCTTTAGAGTAGCGGTATTAAAAATTATTGAATGCATTGTCAGGCACAGCATTATTCCTTTAGGGGTGAAGCTTCTTAAAGCGTGGGTCTGTCCATCCTCCGTTGTTACACGTAGCCACCTGTAGAGGATGCGAGATGGTGGTACACTAGATGGACATACAGACTAGCAGGTGGACAAATGGACGCCCATAGTGGGTATGAGCCACAGGGGATGCAAGATGGCAGTACTTGCAGTGTTCACTAGAATGCACGGACAGACAGACTAGAAGACGGACGGACGAATCAATGGACGCATGGACGAACGCTTCGCCCCACTCATCTTCATTCACTTTGTGGATATGCTGCGATTTTTTTAGTGTTCTCAACACCTGCGTTTTATGGAGAGGAACAAGTGGAAGATATTGAAATTCATGTCAGTACTATTTCAAGGAACACAATAATCCAACTACATGAGACTTTGGGCATTGCATTCCTTGGAAGTATGGTTACCAGGACCAGGAATGAAACCTAAGCGCATTGCTTGTGAATCATGATGATAGGAACGGCGCCATTGTAAAGCATGGAATGAAGAGGGGACACATACTATGATACAAGCACTGACTAACCACTGTTTATTTCCTGCACTCGCCACATTACAAATACACACTAACCATCATCTAGAAACTGTTCCCTTCCGATGTTCATGCAAGTTTATGCGTGGCCAACGGCCCTCGTGTCGTCGTACTTGTTTCTTGTTTGTCCCGCGATTTACGTTTTCACTGTTCCCACCATCAAAACATTACGCTTAGCAATGCCAGTATTAGGCTGGCAGGCCTTGTGACAGGCAGGCACGCACACAGGCAAGTGGCACTGGCAACTACTGCAGCAGTGCCATTGCACATTGAAGCAAACGAGTCATGTGAGGGAGTAAGCCACCTACCAAGGCACTGTTAGTCCGGCCACCAGGTGCGAGGACTGCTGCGGCTGCTCCAAGATGTCCACGCCAAACAGCGGCCACACGTCCGACGTTGCCTTCACAGAAATTGCAGTACGTGTAAGCTCGCTCAACCTTTTGCGTAGACTCAAAACACAGCGATAATAAATCCTCGAATAGGGGGTGTCGCTAGGCTCTGGCGAGTAGAGCCAATTAGAAAATGGCATTTCCAGCGCCTTGGCGAGGTGTACTCGAGCGTATTTACTGGTCCAAGAAGTTCGCCCTAATATCAACAACCAAGTTGTTGGCACTTAACAGAAACCAACTATGTGTTGCCGAAGAGTTTCTGGTGTTTCAGCAAGACAAGTAGCAATCATTGGCCCCATCACTTTAACAGCAATGCTGTTAAAGCTTCAGATAAAATGAACGACCACAAAAAATTATTACCACGAATTCGTACTTGCAAAGAAATAGGGCAAAACCAACCACTCGCCACTTGGTCTACTAAAAGCGAAGTATGAAGAGTTAACGCAAGGAATGCTTGCGAAGCGATCAGATGTCAGCAAAATTAGATACGGAAAATGCGGCAAAGGGTTTCCCGACGTCATTTCTCTAGCTGTTCACACGAAGAGGTGCTGTCTGGCTGTCACAGACGGCGATAGCCAGCCACCTTACGTACTTGCCTTAATACGTACAAATCGGCTAGCTGATAACAATTACGTTTAAGAGAAACAAAATTTATGCGCACGAAAAATGAAGATGAAGACTAAGAAAGCCATAAGCGCTCTCCTGTCAAATTCTTAGTTCTGTCTTCGTTTTTAATGCGCCTAAAAAGCCCTGGCTTTAAACATTCCGGAATTTGCATTTGGTTTTCTTCGCGCAAAACGCTTCCTCGATCTCTCTAGCCAGTTATCTTTGCGCAGGCTTTGATGAGTGGTGTGCGTCGCTTGTTCGGTGCTTTAGCGTGACATGTCTCACGCTCACAGAACTTACTGCGGAAGCGATGAAGACACGAGATAACACTGAGGCTACGCCCCCTTAACACTGCGAAATCGATATTACGGCAAAATCCGACTTTCAAACAACGGCCTACCTACCTGTTTGCCCGTGGTCGGTGTTCCCTTGAGGCTCGGAACTCGGAAGCCCATGCGTCGGAGTTCGTTGGCGGCTAGCTGCCTCTCCGAGTCGGCGCTTTCTGCGACGAACATCGTCTTCAAGCGATGGTTTGCGGCTCTGCGTTTAAGCACTGGCCCGAATATTCGGCCCCTCGCGGGTGGTCAACGGGCGTGCAGCAGTCAGCCCGTTCGCTTTTTTCAAGTTTCGTGCCAAGCCGGATGTGACGCCCGTGTTCCGCTCAAAATCCGCAACGGCTTTTTCGCGTTAGTGCTGACATCTTGTGACAGGTAAGTTGTGTAGTAAAAGTGTATAAATTTAATTCTTCGCTCACTTGCCACAATACAAAAATAAAAAATACGGGGTTATGTTCGATATAATTACTATAAAAGCTCGTGTTGTTAACACTGATGGTCTCGAAGTTTTAGTTGCTAGTTTTAGAGGCTATGCGATTTTGCGTTGCAAACACCGCGTTTGTTTAAGGGTTCATACACGGAGGACTTTCCTTCCTCCGTGGGTTCATACGTCTAAAAAAAATTGCGTGGCCTACGTATTCTCACAGAAATGCTTACAGTGCCACGGCACTCAAGGTCTGTTCGATTCAACTGCACCTTGTGAAACAGTTCACGAGGTGCTGCACTTTGCCATTCGTTTCAGTGGCGTAGCATTGACGACCTCTGAACCCTGCTATTAATTCCGAAAGGTGCAGAACAGATGCAGCACTGGTTCACAATTTCCTTGCACCTCTTGCGCTGACGGTTCCGGCTTGGTGCAGCCCCGCGTGCAGCTGAGCAGACGACGCCACACTTGGGCGTAGGCGCTGTACCACCATTTACTAACGCGGTGTGTTTTGCCAAAGTATTTTCGCCTAAAAACTGTCCAAATATGTGGTTCGCCATCGGTGTAAATTAAGCGAACATAAATAAGGCCTGCACCTTGTCGGCACATTGTCATTCGTTCAGGCGTAGCACTGTGCCCTCACGGCTGAACCAGGCTGAACTGACACTGCACAACTTCTAAACCTCGCGTGCACAGCCGTGATGAAACCAGTTCCAATCGGTGCAGGTATATCGAACGGACCTTTAATTTAGCAAATGTCCCGTCTTCAAGAAGTAAAATTAAAAATGTAAAAAAACGACGTTAAAGCTGCCGTATTAATAATTTAATTATGGTATCTTACACAAATATTACAAAAAAGTTGGAGTTGACGCACTAAAAATTTTGTACACTACACCAAGGTCGATTACACTACACCGCCGAACCATAGCCGAACATGCAAGGGTGATGTCATCGAGGCCGACGCGACCGGAGAAAGGCGAGCGCCGCTGGCGGTGCGGTTAGCGTTGGGGGGTCGTGGACCTCGCGTTGTCGAGGGGCCGTCGCAAGCTCAGCTGTTCCCGAAGGCGGTGACGATGACGTTCACGTGAGAGACGACGTTCGTACCGGAAGAAGTAAGGCTGGGCGCGATGCGCGAAGCCGGCTGCGTCGGTTGCCCGCCGCTAAACGTCGTCGGCACCGTGGTCCGCGCGTTCGGTGCTCTCTTCTTGGCCTGCGCGTTCCAGCAGCAACTCATGGCTTCGCTTTACATCGCCGCCGTCGTCGTGGCCCTCGCCTGTTACGCCATCCACCGTGCGGCCCTGCCTCGCGTAGACGACGCCCTCGCGGCCGAGGTGATCCTCGGAGTCGACGGCGGACGTGGTGACGGCGACAATGAGCCGCTACCGCTGGTGTTCGCGCACAGGGGTGGTGGTCACGACGCGCCCGAAAACACCCTTGCCGCCATCCGGGAGGCCAAGCGTAACAACGCCTCGGGAATCGAGTTCGACCTCTCCTTCACGCACGACAGCGTCGCGGTCCTTTTCCACGACGACACCCTGGAACGCACCACAAACGGCGAGGGACCTCTAGCTTCGATAACCTTCGAAGCCCTGCGAAAACTGGACGCCGCCACGAATCACCCGTTTGCGGACCGCTACGCCGACGAGCGCGTGCCGACGCTCGAAGAAGGCGTCGAAGAGTGCGTCCGCCTGGGCCTGCGCCTCATCCTGGACGTCAAGGAGTACGACCACAGAGCGGTCGCCCTAGTCGATGAACTGTTCCGCAAGAGACCCGAGCTCTACCGTCGCGCCCTGGTCGCCTCCTTCTACCCGCAGTTCATCTACGCGCTGCGGCGCCAGAATCCGGACATCGTGACGGCGCTCACCTGGCGTCCTGGTTTCGTCGCGTACGAGGACATCGAGAACCTCAGGCCCCGCTACAAATCGTCCTACACAAAGCACCTGTTTGCCCGGGTCGGTGACTGGGTGCTCGACCGGGCGCTACACGGCGGACTGCTTCCGTACCTGACCGGCGCCTCGGCTCTGCTGATCTGCAAGAACGTGCTGAGCGCGGAGTACGTGAGGTCTTGGAAAGACCAGGGCCTCCACGTCCTGGCCTGGACCCCGAACCACCCGGCCGAAAAAGAGTTCCTGCGGAAAGTCCTAAGGGTGCCCATCATTACTGACACCCTGCGGCACGCGTAAAGACGGTGTTTGACACCTTTTTAGCACCCCTTTTTACAGCGCACGTAATTATTATTTTTTAGTAGTGTAGTCTCCACAAATTGCACGAACAAGGGAGTCTAATGCGATTATTTCACCAGTACTATTTTAATCGATTAGTGTAAAAAATGTGGTAAAAAATTCTAACTGCACAGGGAACTCTGTTGCAATCAAACTTTCTCAGTGTGGCATGTTGCTCTGCTCATATGATGAGCATGAGAGTATAATACAATTGTCGCCCGCCGCGGTGGTCTAGTGGTTAAGGCACTCTGCTGCTGACTCGCAGGTCGCGGGATGAAGTCCTGGCTGTGGTGGCTGCATTTTCGATAGAGGCGGAAATGCTGTAGGCCCGTGTGCTCAGATTTGGTGCACGTTAAAGGACCCCAGGTGGTCGAAATTTCCGGAGCCCTTCACTATGGCATCTCTCATAATCATATGGTGGTTTTGGGACTGTTAAACCCCACAGGCCAAACCAACCTAATACAATTATCGCAACTGTGCTATTCCTATAGCAAAAAAAAAGAAAAAGTGGACCCCGACAGAGAGCAGAGTTGAAATCAAAATTGCTCTTTGTGTCACCTTTTCAAGATATGACATTTTTAGGTGACTCACAAGACATTTAGTTGTGCAAGCGTTAAATCTGGGTACATTCCTTTTGGTGTTCGGCGTACATTGTTTTCGCTTATATTTGTACACCAGGCAGCTTGAATTGGCCAACTAACAAGCAACCTACAACTGAAAATTCATAAGTCCTGTGGAGGCTTAGCAAATTCATGGTAGAACCTCTGGCATGTACTTTCAGAGCCACTTTAGTAAATGTTTTGCCTTTGGATAAGGCAAAAAAGGGTGACCCGTGCTCCATTCTTAGTATTAGTACATTGCGAGATTTAGCTAACTGATTCTGCTAAGGAATAGCAGAAGGTAATTAGTAAGCAGCAGTGTAATTTTGTCGTAGATTCGCATTCAAAGTTGTGTGCATGTTTGAACAAATGCATGACTCCTATAATGTTTGAACAAATGCATGACTCCTATACTCTGTGACATGTCAAGAACAGTGTGGCTTTTTTGCCATCCAGCCAATAGTGTTGCGGCGGCTACGTGAGGTACACTTTGAGACTCCTTTCCTGAGTGCGGCACAGAAGCAATGAGCTGTGACATCACGGACGGAATGGCAAAGCCAGTGGATGATGGAACATCCTTTGACTGGGGAAAACCACACTATTCTCGACTTGTGACCGAGTGTAGTAGTGGTAGTTGAGTGTGGGTGTATTTATCGAGGAACAAGGCACACATAACAGAGAGAGCAAGAGGCTTACAAATGTACTTTACTGCATTACTGTCGCATTATTGGTGTTTAGATTTACACTGTGAGATGTTTTGCCTGCACTTATAAAACTCTCCAATACTTATCAATAAGCATGCACACTGAGTAAAAAATCGCCTTTGTTTGGAAAATGTGATAAACTGCCTTCAGTAAATCACGAAGTGGACAATAGTGTTTTGGAAACATGCCTGCAGTTGTGTTGTATGCTGTCTCTATGCCACGCACAAGGTGATCATCGTAGATACTCATATTCATTTATCATTGAAAAGAACTGCAGATCTTATCACAATGACGTGTTGATGGCCTCATTCACTGTGGACCAGGCCAGTAGCCAGGAACTTTTTTTCTTTAAGGCAGCCCACTTGCTTAGGGCCTTGACTCTTTCGGAAAGTCTCAGTATTTTCAATAATTGCATTAAAATATCAGTAATCAGAAATTCAGGGGCGGGGGGGGGGGGGGGTAGGCCTCTAAAGCATCCCCTCCTGGCTGCTAGCCTGCTGTGGACTATCTGTCATTCACCTGTCGTACGTATCTCATTTCAATACCTTGCTGAGATTGGCATGTTCACACATTGCATGTTTACGCTCTGTAGTTTTAAACGGGAAAGCTTCATAGATGAATTGTTGCAGCGGAATGCGGCAGCTTTTCCTGTAGCTTACATTGCGGCCAACTCAGTATGTCTTTATTTAACGTTAACTGTCTATAAATCATTTGACTTGTTTAAATACCTTGTCTAGAATGGCATCTTCATTACAGTTTGCGTGTTCATGCTTGAACTATATGTAGTTTTTAAATACCGAATATCCATAGTTGAAATTGCGCATGGCATCCTGTGGAATGTGGCAGCTTTTTATGCAGCTTGCGTTGCCGACGTTGCAGCCAACTCTTAACTACGGCTTAACTTACCGTGGGCCGCCTGTCATTCACATCTCTTGTTTGAATACCTTGTTGAGGATGGCATTACACTTTGTATGTTCATGTCTAAACTAAGTAGTTTTAAATTGAAAAGCTCCGTAGCTGAACTTGTAACTTTTTGCGAAATGTGGCAGCTTGCGTTGCTGACGTTGCCCCCAACTTAGTCCGGGCTTACATATTTATGCACCGGTGATCTCTGCAGAACCTTCTGCACTTTCATTTACACATCGGGGTTTCATCGCTGGGTACCAAAGTACACGATGGGAGGGGGTACTTGCAAGCTGCTGAAGTACCTTCCTTGGCATGCTGTGTAATATGCTATTGGGCATTTGCAGGTCTTTTAGGGCATCTGTATGCACCTTTTATATGGTACGGTTCCTCACATTTGATGTAAGAAAATATGCACAGCTTTTTTGTTTTTCTGATCTAACGCACATACGAAAAAATATGGAACAGGATGCATGTTTGAGCTCACTAATAACCTGGTAAATAAATGCTACAAATGCAGAACGTTACAGGTAACGGAGTGCTAATCATAGACTGGTGGTTTATTGTACTGAGCGCACCACTTGTGGTTGCTTGTGGTTGACAATTAGCATAAAACACCTTGTGAGCTGGTTGATCAACTTAACACGCTAAATGAAACACAAGGTGTCTTCAAAACAAACTAGACACTCTACTGACTACAGACAATTAATTGTGCGAGCACAATACATATGATAGTCGAGATAATGTGTTCCATTCTTTTGTAAATGCACCATTCTTGTGCTATTACAGAGTACGAAAGGTGTCTTTGCATCATTATCAGTTTTCATAAGTATTTGGTTGCAGGGGTAAAGGTGCAAGGACGATCAAAAGTCTGCACGCTATACTGCCATTTGAATACATGTGATAGCGGCCTTCAAACTTTTGACACCCCCATGTAGTTAACATGAAACCAGCAAAATAATTTGGCCACATTCTTGCTACTCATTTCTTTGAGTCTTAGTGTTGCGTCTATTATGTGTGCCCGTAATTCAACTGAAAGTAGTCCATTTCCAGATCATGTGTTGCCTACTTTTTGGATGCCAAAAAAAGAGGGTTATTTTGGGTTCTGTTATTGCATAAAAAACAACACATTTACGGGATTGTTGTGGCACGAAAACTGCTTGATTATCATGTCCTCAAAGTATGTACTTGGCAAGCAACATTTCTTTTTCACGAGGCAGTTGTAATACACCATGTCACAGTATGAGCATTCGGTTAGAGCCAATGGTTGATTTTACAAAATTTATAAATGGAGCTAAAGCGACATTTACAATGTACAGTGCATCCATAAAGTCATTGTGCACTTACAGCAAATCACTGAAACAATGTACAAATGTAAACTCTTCGCCATGTATTGGCACTCCGTTGTAGACATTACGTATTTAGGTACATGCCCTTTGGTAAAGGATTCGAATTCGGCAAGCCACAAACTCTCATGTGTACGTTCAATCTTGTGGGCATGGGTCGCTGCTGCACAGTTCGTGGTACTGCATCATCACCTTCACACAACATACTGCAAAAAAATTAGAAATTTCGTGTTATTTGGTGAAAAGTTGGTTTTTGGTGATAAGTTGGTGTTTGGTCTTGCTCGTTTTCGTTTTTTTTTTTTTTTTGCCTTCCTAGAACCTGTCCAAAATGTACCATGACGTTATAGCCACACTGTGGTGGCCTTTATTTTAAGCTTTATTGCAAAAAGCAAATCCTCTGCCCGCACCACCAGAAATGATGGATGTGTCTTTGTGACCTAATTTGAATGTGTTGTCTTGTGGGTTTCATTACTATTTCACAGGGAGAGAAACACATTTAATCGAAATGGAAAGTTTCAGAGGAATGCATGCATGAAAAAAAGTGTCTTCAAGGGACCCTAAAGGGAAAAGAAAGTTGCATTTTTAGCTCTGAACTATGCTTCTCGTCTGCCAGATCGACACATATGCCCTTTTTGATAAGCCAGGAAAATGCAGTGTGCCAGTAATACCAGCAAGTGCTGAAAGTGCTGCTTCAGTAAATGAAACTGATTTGTTCAGTGTGACAGATGCAGAATTGCAAGGCAGTGGCATTAAGTAGTAGGCACCTTGAATGCTAATGAACAGTGTCCCAGAGGTACCTCCTGCTTGGTCTTCCACATGGAACATTCAGTATGCATATCATTACTCAGGCCCCAACTCTTCATCAGCAGTTGCTCTGCGCAGCATAAGCTTCTGTGAAGCAGCCGCAGTTTGACGTTTTTTTACCCGGTGTAGACGTAGCAGTGTTTAAGTTCTTGTCTTAGTGGTTGTCTGAGGAAATGGTGCAGCTTTATGCAAATTTTTGTTTCTTTTGCTGTGACGTGATCTTGTTTTAGTGCAGTGACATTTATTTTGCACAACTGTTGGCAGCGCTCTACCAATATTTGCGTTCCTGTTTTGTGGCATATTTGAATCACGCAGAGCACTGAGCAAATAAATGACCAAAGCGTGCTGTGATTCGGTGCGTGATTTCGGTGTCTTGGAGTTTGTGATGATTTGTCTTCTTTAGAGCGGAAGTTCTACTACGCCATGTCTCAAAAAAGCATTCATGGCGTCGCAATGACCTTCAGCCACCGAAGCGCTAGTGATGATATGTGACTTGATCCGCTGCTGAGAGGAATCTAAGCTGCCCTCGACGCTGCGGTACCACGTGACTTGGCTAAGGTTCAGCGGCTGCTTCGTCAGCACTTCATTGATAAGTCTCGCCGTGGACAGTGCGCCAGCGGGGCTTCCGTGCGTGTGCTTCGACGCAAAGGACTTACTGAATACGGTCGTCCAGTACGGCTAGACGGCAGGCTGCAAAATCTCCAGCAAGCACAAAGTTGTGTCTAAAACATTGAAGCGAAGGGAGAATGCAGGTTAAATCTGAACATACTGACAGAGTTGCCTGTCGGTTCGGTAATTAAGGCTTTCACAATGCTCAAGCTAAACATGGGTTTATTTTCCGACATTTCAAAACCTAACTTGGTT